GCGGATCCAGTCGATCAGCACCTCAGTGACAGCACCCTTGCTGCGCAAGGGGAAGACTGAGGTGTAACGCGAGTAGTCGTCAACCACCAACAGGAAGTAGCGCTCGTGACCCTGCCCACGGACGGGGGCCGGGCCCCACACGTCCATGTGAAGCGTCTGCAGAGGAGCCTCTGTCGGGGGAAACTGGGAGGAGTGAGGAGCAGCCCTGAGGCGCCCCTCGACACAGGGGACACAGGAAGGTCCTGGTCCCGAAGGAAGGGGAGGGAGAGACTGGGGAAGACCAGAGACAAGGACACGGGAAGCCATGCCCCGAAGACGGGGCAAGGAGGGGTGGCCTAGACGGTGGTGCCACAGAAGAGTCTCGTGAGACAGGAGGCGACACGAACAGGGGGCAGACTCAGGACCAGACCTGGACGCAGCAGCAAACACCTGACCCGACGCTGCTACCTGACCGGACGCGGGGACAGGAGGAGACTCAGTGGTCAGGGTGTAGAGGCTCGACCCCGGCCGACGCGAGAACGTGGCCAGGTGCCGGCCTGTGCGTGCGTCCGTGCAGTGGGTCACCCGCTGACTCGCAGGAGTGAACTGGTGAACCCCCGCATCCTGTAGGTCTGCACCACTCACCAAGTTCGTCGAGAACGAGGGGAGGTACAGGCCAGACAGGGTGCCCGAGGGGGCAGCCGGACACGGGAGGACAGTGGAGAAGTGAGCGAGGACAGGACCCCCAGAGGGGTCAGCCAGGGAGACAGCAACCGGCCGACCAAGCGGCGTGAGTGTGGTGCGGTCCCGAAAGAAGGAGCGAGAAGCCCCAGAGTCAAGTGTAAAGGTGAGGGAGGCCGAAGCCAACGCGGTACCTGAGAGCGCAGCCTCACCCGCACCTGAGGAAGCAGATTCACTAGCACCTAGAGCAGCAGCCGCACCTGTACCTGGAGCAGGAGACTCACTAGCACCAAGAGCAGCAGCCTCACCAGTAGCTAGAGCAGCAGGTCCTATACCTGGGTCAGGCGGGACGCACAGGTGACCGGCACGGTCAGCACTAGTAGGCAATGCATACATGGCAGTGAGAATAGCATCATAGTCAAGAGCATATATATCTACCCTCTGCCTAAGCAACTCCACCCAGTCGGGAAGCTCAGCCTCGTCGCCAAACACGGTACGCCAGGCGTCGCTCAGACGGGCGAAGCAGCGGGACGGTGTATGACTACGTGTCCCACAAGGCTGACCAGTCCGAGTACCAGTGCGAATCACGTAAGAGCAGCGAACAGCACTGAGAGACCCTCCACTCTGAGCGTACCACTCACGAAGCTGGCGAGGCGTGAGAGACACGCGAGAGGGCCGCGGGAGCTGCATCTGGCCGCCACCACGAGTAGAAGCAGCAGGAGTGGTAGTAGGAGTAGCGTCGCCACCCCTACAGCCCCAACCAGCGTACCACTCACGCAGCTGCTGGGGCGTGAGGGACTCACGCCGGCGTCGCTGGGGCTGCATTTGGCTCCGCAAGTAGAAGCAGGAGCAGGACTAGCAGCAGGGAGGCAGGCAGCCAGGCAAGCCAAAAGGCAGGCAGGCAGGCAAGCAGGCGACGCGCAGCGTGCTAGCAGGGCAAGAGCTCACCAGTGGTGGGAAGAGTAGGCTCGGCGACTCAGCGGCTCGGCAGCTCGGCGGCTCGGCGGCTCAGGCGACTCGGGCGGCTCGGCGGCAAGGCGGCTCGGCAGCAACTGCAGCTCAGCAGCTCGGTGACTCGGCGGCTCGGCGGCAGGGCGGCTCGGCAGCAACTGCAGCTCAGCAGCTCAGCGACCCGGCGGCTCGGCGGCAGGGCGGCTCGGCTGCTGGGCGGCTCCGGTGCAGGGCGGCTCGGCGGTGGGGCGGCTCGGCTGCTGCAGTGGGAGATGAAGGAGGAGGAGGGCCGGCGGCGGGCTGTAGCAGGGGCCGGTGGCGGCTGTAGCAGGGCCGGTGGCGGGCTGTAGCAGGGCCAGTGGCGGGCTGTAGCAGGGGCCGGTGGCGGCTGTAGCAGGGCCGGTGGCGGGCTGTAGCAGGGCCGGCGGCGGGCTGTAGTAGGGGCCGGTGGCGGCTGTAGCAGGGCCGGTGGCGGGCTGTAGCAGGGGCCGGTGCGGGCTGTAGTGGGGCCGACGAGGGGCCGAAGTGGGGCCTAGGCGGGCCGGCGGGCTGTAGGCGGGGCCGACGCGGCGGGCTGTAGCAGGGGCCGGTGGCGGGCCTAAGCGGGGCCAGCGCGGGGCCGACAGGGCGTAGGTGGGGCCGACGCGGGGCCGAAGAGGGGCCTAAGCGGGGCCGACGGAGCCTACGCGGGGCCGACACGGGGCCGAGGCGGGGCCTGGGCGGGGCCTACGCGGGGCCGACGAGGTGTACGCGGGGCAGACGAGGTGTACGCGGGGCCGACGAGGTGTACGCGGGGCCGACGAGGTGTACGCGGGGCCGACGAGGTGTACGCGGGGCCGACGAGGGGTACGCGGGGCCTACGCGGGGCCGACGAGGGGTACGCGGGGCCTACGCGGGGCCTACGTGGGGCCGACGAGGGGTACGCGGGGCCTACGCGGGGCCGACGAGGGGTACGCGGGGCCGACGAGGGGTACGCGGGGCCTACGCGGGGCCGACGAGGGGTACGCGGGGCCGACGAGGGGCCTAAGCAGGGGCCGACGAGGGGCCTAAGCTGGGCCGACGAGGGGCCTAAGCGGGGCCGACGAGGGGCCTAAGCGGGGCCGACGAGGGGCCTAAGCGGGGGGCCGACGAGGGGCCTAAGCGGGGGGCCGACGAGGGGCCTAAGCGGGGGGCCGACGAGGGGCCTAAGCGGGAGCACGACGGGAGGGGCGACTCGGAGGGTCGCTAAAAAAAATGCGCGCCTCGGGGCGCGCTTCGGTGGGCCCTAGGAACAGGCCCTAGGAAGGGACCTGCTCTGATTCCATGTGAGAATAAGCGAACAGGGATGAATGAACTAGCAGTGAAATGAGTACAAGTAGTGAAACCCTAGAATTGTGTACCCCCTATAGGCTAACCCACTGTAGCCTACACAAGCATAACATATATACTGTTTGACAATATGCTATGGTGGATAGTCATAAATTTGAAATTTGTAGTTGAATGTATAAACTAATAAAACAATACACAAGAACACAACCAACTAAACTCAACTCTAAACCGTCGAATGGGTAAAAGCCTTCACAGGCATGAATCTTCACGATCATCGATAGCTGGCAGACACGACCAACCCACCCTGAAAAAACAGGAGACAACGTACGACGTTTAAAATAAGCGCTGGAAACTAACCAATTAGCTGCCAACAACTGTGGGAAAACGAATACAGCTGAGGTCAAATACAGCATAATAGGGTATGCTTGACTGCCAAACCAGTCGCCTGCAAAACCATGACACACTCACGTCTCGTTAGCGCTAAGAAAACGGGCTCTAAAGTGAAGCAAAGCTCTAAGTACTAACCATGGTGTCGCTGCACGCACGCCATTGTGGCCAATGTCATGCGTACACGGTGGCTAAAAATACGTGAAAATCGAAGAGAAGCTTTGAACTAACGCCTAATATTTTGAAGGTGACTGAAGGATCCAACTCGACGGGAGCGTGGTTGCCGGTAAGGAACTCGAAGAAGGCAACTAAGGCCGGAAAGACAGTCGCGATGGAAAATGAGAGCTGCAAGCAATGAAGGGGAGGAGGAAATGAAGATGTGCTCAGAATATACCAAGTCAAGCAGTGCGTTCCTCCCCCGAAATCTGAGCCTGATTGAACATGAACCAATCCGAATCGAGATCTCAATATCTTGTGCCAACTCACTGCATCTCTCGATCTTAACCATTGAACGCCTGAATACATCTACAATTACAGTTTAATAGCCAATCACACAATGACAGCTGAAAGACTCACGTAATTTCTGCTGTCAAGCGAAATAGCAGGTTGATGCACCTGAAATCTAGATCGTTCAAAGTTAGGACCATCAACGGTTGCGATTCCAACCTTTCTAATGTTGGTGCTTAATCTTCACCGTCCCCTTTGTTTCTCATCGACGGTTGTACTCAGCCTTTGCATCTAAAAATCGACGACTGAAAAAAAAACCAATCGACGGCTCACATTCCAACCTTTTGTGAGGAACGAATCATGGGCAGCCCCGAATGCAATGGTTAACAGATATGGAATTGACGGCTGAGATTATCGTTTGTGTGAGTAGGGTAAAAAATGACTAGCCCCTCCTCTAAACTCCAAGGGCGTTGGAAGCGATGCATTGAAGTACATACACACTTGTTTCTGTGTGGAGAGCTGTTTTTTAGGGTGAGTATGCACATCGCACCCTCCAATGGTTTACGAGCAGGCTGGAGGTGTCGAGTGTAGTGTGTCTGTACTCCACCCTAATTTCATTGTCCATACTTCGCTTCCGAGTTGGTTGTGCAAGTGCACTCGCTACCAGGAGGGGGGTTTACACTGTATCTGCACACGCTACACCCTAGCAGTACTTGACTCGAGCACGCGAAGTACGCACTTCGTCTTCCCTTTCGCTCGGGCCCCGAGAGGGAATTTTGGGATGTCCGTCCGGGTCCCCTCCGCCCGTGTCTGATTCTCCTCCGTCCGTGTCGGATTCTCCTCCACCCGTGTCTGATTCGCCTCCGCCCGTGTCTGATTCGCCTCCGCCCGTGTCTGATTCTCCTCCATCCGTGTCTGATTCACCTCCGCCTGTGTCTGATTCCCCTCCGCCCGTGTCCACTAACGGGCAGTGCGGGGCAGCGAACGGAAACAGCATCTGCCCGAGTGGCCTCTGCTGCAGCGAGTGGGGCTGGTGTGGCTCCACCCCCTCCCACTGCGGCGCTGGCTGCCAGTCCCAGTTCTCCCCTTATGCCTCCTCACCCACTCCGCCTCCCACCAGATCCCCTTCCCCCTCTCCTCCTCCCCCGTCCACCTCCCCTTCTCCGCCTTCTGCTTCTCCGCCGCCCCCGTCCGCCTCACCTCCGCCCCCAACCGGCTCCCCTCCTCCATCTACTGGGCTGAATCGCATGGCGTATTTCGTCAACTGGGCGGGCATGGATCCATCCCTCATCCCTGCTGCCAACCTCACGCATGTCTTCTACGCCTTTGCTTCCATCGACCCCACCACATACAAGGTATGGTACCGCACTGCACCGCACTCTGTCTGTCTTGCCCTGCACATACCTCTCCCTGTCATCTGGTACAGGTATCCCAAAAACCCCTTCCATTCCCCGTCATTGCAGATTCATGAATACCTGAAGTATGTTGTCTCAACGCCACGTTTAGGCCCACCACGCCCGGAGCATACTTCACCCAATTTCCGTCCCTTCTCTTCCCCCCTTGAGCAGGTCGTTCCCTCCAGCATTTGACGTCACCCAGGGCCTCGACCTGCACCTCAACTCCGCTCTAGAGAACGCCAACCCCTATTCAGCCCTCACCCATCACCCTCTCCCTTCTCTCTCTTCCCCCCTTGAGCAGGTCGTTCCCTCCGTCCCAGCAGTGGACGTCACCCAGGGCCTCTACCTGCGCTTCAACTCCGCTCTAAAGGCCGCCAACCCCACCATTAAAACCCTCCTCTCCATCGGAGGAGAATCCGCTGGCACCACTGTTTTCGCCGACGCCGCCTCCTCCGCCTCCTCTCGTTCCGCCTTCATCCAATCCGCAATCGTCCTCGCCCACACGTACAACTTTGACGGTCTGGATATCGACTAGGAGTTCCCGACGGGCAACGCCACCCTTTTCTCCAACCTGCTCACGGATTTCCGGGCGGCGATCGAATCCGAAGCCGCTTCGTCTGGGAACCCCCAGCTCCTGCTTACGGCGGCGGTTTCTCCCGACGAGCCGACAATCACTCAGTCGTACGATGTCCCGACGCTTAACAATACACTGGATTTTGTTAATGTTATGGCATATAACCTGCATGGGTCATGGGATCCGCAGACCGGCATGCACACTGCTCTGGAGGATCCGAGCTTCCCCAAGCTGAGCATCACGGGTGCCATGGATGCCTGGATGTCCCGAGGCTTGGCCCGAAGCAAGGCCATGCTAGGCTTGGCGATGTACGGCCGAACCTGGACTCTAGCCTCGACAAGCAACACTGGAGTTGGAGCTCCGGCCACTGGGGCTGGCCAGGCTGGGCCTATCAGTCAGGTTAGCTCCCCTTTCCTGTTTCTACTCTGCATCATGCGTCTCTCGCTCACTCACGTGATTACCAGCCTTCTGCGTCTGTTTTTGCTCTCCTTCCTTATGCACTTACAGATTGTAATGTACTTTTTATTTCATGACATCCAAGTCAGTAGCTCCCAACAAGCTCTTCTCATCCGCTTTCTTTTCCTGCAAATTCCCTCTCCACCCCATTTACAGGATCCAGGTTTTCTCTTCTACAAGGAAATCGATCAGCTGGTTACCACTGGAGGTTACGTAGCTACACTCCACGCTCCATCCTCATGCATGTATGCAGTGAAGGGTGACCGGTGGGTTGGTTACGACGACCCTTCCACCATCACCACCAAGGTTCAGTTTGCCAAGACGCAAGGCTATGGAGGGTGGTTTGTCTGGGAAATGAGCCAGGATGCCAATAATGCTCTGCTCAATGCTGCAGCAGCTGCATGAGATGAAACCCACGCTCAAAGGACAGTATGAGATTAAGAATTGTATGCTTGCTTCGGTATTTTGTTTCAAGAGTATAAGAGCTGTTTGGGGGATTTGGAGGTGGATGTACCCATGGATCAAACTACGGTAGGTACTACATAAAGCATTTTTCATAAGCTTTTGTTTTAGTTTGTGTCAAGAATATTGAGGGTTTTTTTTTTTTGTGTAGCCTGAATGTCAGAAATGCAGCCGTAAATGCAGCTGCTTTTGAATACTGGCATATTGGACTAATGCAGCCAATTGCAGTTGAAAGTAACTGACAATGTGTCGTAAATGCAGCAGTTGTCAATACGGAGGGTGTGGTACTTTTGGGAAATGAGCCAGGATGCAAACAATGCTGCAGCCGCTGCATGAGTTGATCCTTAGGTAGACAGTGTGAGAAACAGGGCTCTCGTTATCAGGGTTTTTACCCTAGGCCAGAAAGTGTAAAATTTGTTGTACCCTTTGAAAAACAGTGTAAGGAACTTATTTCCCTGACTGTACAGTGTACAATCCCAGTAATACTGGGACCGAATGCTCCGTAGCAAGACGAAACACTATGCGGGCCCCTGCAAGCAAAACGATCCCAACAGTGAGATTTGAATCTGCAGACTTTCAGACCCAAGCCGTAACATAACCAACTGAGCCACTACGTGCTGAATAAGGCTAACTCGGCAATGTATAGATACCCTGACCAAACAGACTTACAGTTTTTTAACCCTGCATTTGTCAGGGAAACAAAAATTTTACCCTAGGCATCAAGGTTGACTATACCTAGAACCCTGATTACTAATGGTGGTCCAAAACGAATCTGAAGCCCTGGTGAGAAACAAATATTTGATTTATTCATCTGTTGTAAGTGTAGACAAGTTGATTGGTTTGGTGGTCTGTCAGTTTTCCCAACTAGACTCACATCACACCCCTCTGCCCCTGTGCACACTCAGTGCAGCAGTCCCTCCCTCCCAGTCACACCACCCTCCCTCCCGCCATCTCCTCCCCAGTAGCCACCGGGCTGTGCGGAGTGGAGCAGGCTGACAAAGCCACACAGGGGGCCCACACAGGGGGGGGGCACACACAAACACACCCCGTAAACCATGCAGCAGTGGCTCGGCTGGACTCACACCACTCTGCCTCCATGCACACACAGTGCACCAGTCCCCCCCTCCCAGGCACACCACTCTGCTTCCATGAACAGTGGAGCAGTCCCCCCCTCCCACTCACACCACTCTGCTGCCCGCCATCTCCTCCCCCGTTGATGCCAGCTGCGCCCACCTGCCGCCCGCCGCCGCCCCTGCTGAGCTGGCGGAGTCCCTCAGACTGCCGTCCGCCTCGAGCTTCGCCTGCACCTGCTTCGCCATGAGGGCCAGGCCTGGGGGGCACAAGATGTTAGAATCAGAACACAAGAGAAGAGGGAGACATTGTACAGTGTGTAGTGAACTGAGAGCGGCACTGCCGTCCACCTCGAGCTTCACCTGCACCTGCTTCGCCATCAGGGCCAGGCCTGGCATACGAGAGGCATGGAAACAGCACACCATGCAGAGGATTGGAGCACATGTTTGAGACGCTAAATTACATGGTAGAGTGTATCAGTGGCTTGGAGTGGAGATGGCAGCTGGCCGGCGGAGTCACAGAGACTGCCGTCCGCCTCTAGCTTCGCCTGCACCTGCTTCGCCACACTCCCACATTCCTCACTCTACCCACAATCACACCCACACCCACACCCACACCAACACCCGCATCCACACCCACACCCACACCCACACCCACACCCACACCCACACCCACACCCACACCCACACCCACACCCACACCCTCCCCTGCCCCGCTCCCTTTTTTCTACACACACCCACACCCACAACCAACTCACCCTGCACCATGCGGCTTACAGCCGTACACTACTCCTCCACTCAAGGCATGATAGAAGCTATATATATATATATGTCAAAATTAGAAGAAAGAAAGAGGAATGAACTAGCAGAAATGGGGATACAAATAGCAAACCCTAGAAGGGTTGTACTCGCTATAGAGCACCCCACTACAGGCTAGAACATAAGAATAATATTCTGACACACCCCCATAGCCAAAGTGGGGTGTAATCAGCAGAGCAGGCAAAGCAAAACAAGCTCAGGGTGGATCACAATGTCACCACACATTCTGAGCACAAGTTCAAGAAGAAATAGTTTAGAGTTCACAATTATAAGCAAAGCTAGTGGTAGTCACAACGGGCAAGTGAGGAGGAGGAGGGAGAGTGAGGGGAGAGGAGACAGGAGGCGACGGCTGAAGCTGCAGACACACGGGCAACAGGAGGCAGACTGGCACAGCGGCTACCGGACAGCGCCCGGACTACAGGAGTAACAGGCCCCGCGGCTCAAATAGCGGCGGACGGGCAACGGACCCACGGGCGGCTGGCACAGCTGGCTACGACTGGGCTACCGGGACAGCGCCCCGGACTACAGGTGCTGCGGACGACAAGCCGGCAGCCTCCGCTCAACCTCCCGCAAACAGTCCCACCCCCCTGATACACACCCACTGCTACACCGCTAGCTCTACTCCCACGCACCCCCCCTTAAACCCTAAACCCAGTCTCCCACACATCCACCCCCCTCAGCGACAGCTGCAGCAGTGGGAGACGAAGGAGGAGGAGGAGCAAAGGGAGGAAGGAAGACCGGCCACCCCCATACCCGCCACCCCACAGCACGGGCGACGGGAAATGGCAGGGGGAGGGGGGGGGGGGGGGGGGGGGGGGGGGGGGCGGGGTGGTGAAAGGGACCCACCACGGGCCTGGTTGGAGGGCGGGGCCGCGAAAAGGGGCGGGGCCGCGACGAGGGGCGGGGCCGCGAAGTAGGGCGGGGCCGCTTCGAGGGGCGGGGCCGCGACACAGGGCGGGGCCGCGACGTAGGGCAGGGCCGCGACGGTCGGGCGGGGCCGCGACGTAGGGCGGGGCCGTGACGGTCGGGGCGGGGCCGCGACGTAGGGTGGGGCCGCGTCTGTAGGGCGGGGCCGCGACGGTCGGGGCGGGGCCGCGACGTAGGGCAGGGCCGCTTCGAGGGGCGGGGCCGCGACGCAGGGCGGGGCCGCGACGGTAGGGCAGACGCCCGCCGCGCGCCTCGGGGCGCACAGCGGGCAAAGAACCGCCGCGCGCCCCGGGGCGCACGGCGGGCAGAAAACCGCCGCGCGCCTCGGGGCGCACGGCGGGAAGGAAAACCGCCGCGCGCCTCGGGGCGCACGGCGGGAAGGAAAGGTAGCAGCGGAAGCGAGGTGGAAACCCACCCACAGGATCGATCCAAGGGGATCGACCTGCTCTGATAGCATGACAAAAGTTAGAAGAAAGAAAAAAAGGAATGAACTAGCAGAAATGGGGATACAAATAGCAAACCCTAGAAGGGTTGTACTCGCTATAGAGCACCCCACTACAGGCTAGAACATAAGAATAATATTCTGACAATATATATATATATATATATCCTCTCAGCCACTCACCCACTCACACTCACCCACTCACACTCACGCACTCATCCACGCCCACTCCCAACCCCCCCCAACCCTCCACACCCCCATGCATTCAGTCACCCTGCACCACGCGGCTGACAGCCGTCCACCACTTGTCTTCCGACAGCTGTCGCCTCGTCAGCGCTGACGAGATCTCCTCGCTGCGCTGCCCCGACAGCACCGCCTGCAGCACCTGGGCGGCATCCCTTGTCTCCTGATTGCTCTGTCATCTTTCAGAGTGTGGAAACAGTTTTGAGACGTCTCATCTCTCAGGGTGAAAAAACACCACTCTGAGAGATGTTAGATAAAAAGCACCCAAGGAGCACATGCAAGAGGGAGAATGAGAAACTGGGGAGGAAAGCAGCACAGAAAATGGGGCGCCGATCGTTGCTTGCAACGTGGGTGTCTTGTCACTTGTGGCACAGCGCGGCATGCTGACTGTACCTGGAAGGTTGGTGGTCGTGCGACGGCCACAAGTGCATCGCTCTCTCCCTCCTCCTCCTCACTGTCGTTGCACATGGCCTGCACACACACGAGGGTGTTAAAGGCACAAAAAAAAATTAATAACAACAACAACAACAACAACAACAACAACAACAACAACAACAACAACAACAACAACAACAACAACAACAACAACAACAACAACAACAACAACAACAACAACAACAACAACAACAACAACAACAACAACAACAACGACAACGACAACGACAACGACAACGACAACGACAGCGACAGCGACAGCGACAGCGACAGCGACAGCGACAGCAGCAGCAGCAGCAGCAGCAGCAAGAGCGAGAGCGAGAGCGAGAGCGAGAGCGAGAGCGAGAGCGAGAGCGAGAGCGAGAACGACAACGACGACGACGACGACGACAACAACAACAACAACAACAACAACAACAACAACAACAACAACAACAACAACAACAACAACAACAACAACAACAACAACAACAACAACAACAACAACAACAACAACAACAACAATAATAATAATAAATTGCGCCTCAAGAATCAGTGTGTTCCTTTCTCCATCCTCAGAATGCAGGGTTCACATCTCATCGCACGGATGTCTCTTCACAGCAAGTACCCGTGAACCGTACACTGCAGACCTGCCTGGGAGGGAGCTCTTGGTTGAGTTGAGTGAGTGCATTTGAGCGCCTTTGAAGAGAGCGCAATCAAGACACCTTTGAAGAGAGCGCAATCAAGACGCCTCTGAAGCAGCACACCTAAAGCGCGAGGTTGAGTTGAGGTTGAGTTGAGTGCACCTCGAAACAGATTCTGCGGCGCCTCGGAAGCAGCTGTTGCAGCTGTTGCTGTTACTCCACCACCCCCACCGCCTCCCCTCCACCCCCCTGCACCATCTTCCCCACCACTGCCACACTGCTCGCACCTAGGGAGCGCTCATCTGCAGTCACTTGCCAACTCTACAACAGGCAGGCACCTCTAAAGCGCTCATCTGCAGATCCTTGTCTCGGGCAGGGACATGAGGTCTCTCGGGGACATGCTCTTCCAAAAGAATGGCACGACGACCGGCTTTCCGGAGGCTGCAATCATTTCCATCACAGCGCACCAAGTGTGGTTGGAGAGGTGCAATGCGGTGTTCCGAGGCAGCCGATTACAGCCAAAAAGGGCACTGAGGCGTATTGCAGTTGGTTTCACACGACACGTGAAGATCTACAGCAGAGTGCGGATGAGGATGGCTGGCAGAAGTGGCTCAAAAAGGGCGGGCGACTGGGGCCACTTGAACGCTGACGAGGCAATCGCTATGCGACGGCTTTATGAGAACGAGGCTTCGATGACGTGGAGAGCAGGCTTTAAGGCGATCTGGGACAAGGGGGCTTTGGTTACTTGTGACCTATTCATGCCCTCCTAGCAACAGTTACGACTGCGGATGTATGTATACGTGTAGTGTACTTATGTCCACCAAAAAAAAAAAAAAAAAAAAAAAAACGAAAAACCTGCAGATCCTTCTGGGAGAAGGTGAGCGTGAGAGCGAGAGCCCACTGGGCGGCAGTGGCCCACCGCCACTCTGCGACTGGAAATACCATACGCAAACACCCACTTCCGTAACACCCACCTCAGTATAACCCACCTGCAGGTCCCTCTGTGAGGACGTGAGCGAGAGAGCCAGAGCCCACCGAGCGGCAGTGACCCACCGCCACTCTGCGACTGGGAGGCATGCCCGCGTGCAGACACTTACTTGGTAACACTCACCAGCAGCCAGGCAACCTTATAGCACCCACCTGCAGATCCCTCTGGGAGGACGTGAGCAAGAGAGCCAGAGCTCACTGGGCGGCAGTGACCCACTGCTACTTGGCCGCAGTAGTGCATGTGGGAGGCACACGCGCCTGCAACCTGCAAGCAAGCCCCTCAGTAGCACATCACCCACCTGCAGATCCCTCTGGGAAGACGTGAGCGTGAGAGCCAGAGCCCACTGGGCGGCAGTGGCCCACCGCCACTTAGCCGCCTCGCGCGCCATCTGCTTCTCCTGCGCCGCCGCCCGGCCGGCAAGCTCGTCTGCTAGCGCCACCTCCCCCAGCGCCACACTGTGCAGATACTTGGCGGTCTGAGGGCCCGTGCTGCGCACCATTGCTGCAAACACACTGGCCTCGTTCAACACCATGCTGGCTGGCGTGTCGTACTCTAGTGCCTGGGTGGGATGAAGAAGAGGAGACGAGTGTGAGTTTTTGGCGGTCTGAGACTTGGAAATTGGCAGTTAAAATGGCTTAAAGAAAAAGAAAATTTTATCGCAAAAATTGAGCTTAATATAAAAAATCCTCCTATTGAAATGGTTGATCTTCAAACTGTACCAGAACTTTATGCTAAAATAAAAGTCCAAGGTCATTTTCTAGATAGTGAAAATATATTTTTATATGGCTGCAAATGTGCTGGTTTCGTTTAACACCAGGTTGGCTGGCGTGTCGTACTCAAGGGCCTGGGTGGGATGAAGAAGAGGAGACGAGTGTGAGTACTTGGCGGTCTGAGGGCCTGTGCGGCGCACCATGGCTGCAAATGTGCTGGTTTCGTTTAACACCAGGTTGGCTGGCGTGTCGTACTCAAGGGCCTGGGTGGGATGGAAAAAAGAGCAGAGGGAGGGAGGAGAGGAACGAGAGCAGTTACTTGGCGGTGTGAGGCCCCGTGCTGCCAGTGCACCATGGCAACGGATATGCTGGCATGCAGAATCGAATCCAATCAAATCAGCTCACCATGCCAGCGTCCATGACCAGGATGCGGTCGCTATCCATGATGGTGTTGAGCCGGTGGGCGATGGTCAGCATGGTGCGCCCCTTGAACTCCTCGCGCACCGTCCGTTGGATCAGCGCATCCGTGCCCACATCAACGGCTGCCGTCGCTTCATCCAGCACCAGAATGTGCGACTCCTTGAGCAGCGCTCGGGCAAGACTGATCAGCTGCCGCTGCCCCACGCTGAAGTTCTCCCCTCCCTCTGCCACCTGTGGGGAAATAGATGGTAGAAGGGGAAGAGTCCGTGACATGCAGGATAGCACCTCCCTCAGGTGACACCTCATTACCAGCCCTGTCCATGTACAACCATCTGCCTTTTTCCCTTTTGCTCACCTCTGTGTCCAACCCCAGCGGCATGCGAGATACCACCTCCCTCAGGTAACACCTCGCTACTACCACCTACCGCTACAAATATCTTCCCTTTCCTTCAACCCTTACCTCCGTGTCCAGCCCCAGCGGCATGCGAGATACCACCTCCCTCAGGTGCGCCCTGCCCAGCGCCTCCCACACCTTGCTGTCACTGCGCTCGCTGAACGGATCCAGATTGAACTGCAATGTGCCTGGGGGATTGGAGGAGGAGGGAGGAGAGGGGAGGGGGGGGGGCGGAAGGGAGGGAAGACGGAAAGGAGAGCGGAGTGGGGACAGAAAGGGGGGCGGAGAGGAGATGGAAGGGGACGGAAGGAGGGGCGGAGGAGGGGGAGGGTGGCGGAAGGGGGACGGAACGAGGGATGGAAGGGGGGAAGAGGGGGAAACAGTGAGGGATGGACGGAGCAAGTCAAGAGCCTTCTGAGTCTCTCCCTCCCTCCCACACCTCGTTGTCACTTCGCTCAGACCTACAGTTGAACATACGCCCCCTGAGCCCCCTGAGCCCCTCAGCTAGGCACATTCCCTCTTCCTTACCTGCGCCAGTGCGCCCCACCACGCCAACCTTCTCTCCACTGCGGACCAAGGCACTGAGCCCCCTGAGCACGGGCGGCAGGTCCGGCCTGTACCGCATCACCACGTCCTCAAATAACACCTCCCCCTGCTGCGGCCACCCGGGCGGCGGGCGGTGGCTCGGAATGATGGCCGGCGCTTCGGGAGGGATGTCGGCGTAACTGCTCACCCTCTCCACCGCGTTGAACGAGGTTTCTAAACAAAAAAGAAAAGAAAAGAAAAAGAGTGGGAGACAAGGAGTAAGGGAGGAGGGAGGGAACTGAGTGCGGTAATGGCGGGCGGGGAGGAGCGAGAATGGCAGGCGGGGAGGAGCGAGAATGGCGGGACATTGTGGGGGGCTGAGGTGTTGCAACTGCCAACCCTCTTCACCCAGTTGAACGAGTTTCTCTGAAGAACAATAGGAATGTCCGACGGGGAAAAAGGGGGCAGATGAGGGAGGAGGGGGGGAACTGATTTGTATAGAGTTGATGGTGGGAGCTTCGGGCGGCCCTCTAAACCAGAATTTCTCCTTCAAAATGAGGAAAAATGAACAGGGAAAGGGGTAGCAGGAGAAGAGGGGGGATTCTGGCAAGCAAAGCTTACCAGCAACAGAGGGCAGTGGGATCACCATGGTTATCAAGGCTGGGACCTGCTTTGAGGCGCCTCAAAAGCAGTCAAGAGTACTTTTGAGACGTCTCAGAAGCAGTCAGAGCACCATGATTATCATGAGGCTGTGTATGTTTTTTGAGAATTCTCTTTTTTGAGAATTCTCAAAAATCAGAAGCAGTCAGAGCACCATGATTATCATGAGGCTGTGATCTGACCTGCTTTGGCTTTAAAAGAGAGACCGGCAGAGAGCAGAGACTCTCAAAGTACTCGAGGCCGGCCGTCTTACCATCACCCGAGAGCAAAATCCTACTAGCGACGAACAGCAGGCGAGCACCATGGTCATCATGGCTGTGATCTGCAGCCAGCCTCCACACCCACTGCCAAAGCCACACAGCACCGGCAGCACTTGCAGCAGCACTCACCAGCGACAGAGAGCAGTCGCAGCACCATGGTCATCATGGCTGTGATCTGCAGCGCGTACACCAGAATGAGACCCATCACTGGTGCCAGTGCTGCCTGGTCGCCCGCCCGCTGCACGTCCATCACTGCAAACACCGCCGTGGCTGGCAGTGGGGTTCGGTACAATGGGATTGGAGGGAGGTGCAAAGGGGTCAATAAGCCCCATCACATCACGAGCGCCAGTGCTGCCTGGTCACCCGCTCTCTGCACGTCCATCACTGCAAGCAAACACTGGGTGGTGTGGTGAATGAGACCCATCACGGGTGCCAGTGCAGCCTGGTCCCCCGCCCGCTGCACGTTCATGACTGTGAATACCGCCGTGGCTGGTGGGAGGGCGGGATGGGAGGAGGAGTGCGATTTGGAAACGACTCAGGACAGAATGAGCCCCACGACACGACTGCCACCACCGGTACTGCCTGGTCATCTGCCGAGAAGGGGTAATGCCCTGTGCAGTGCAGCACGTCCATTTTTTAGTCGCACCTGGGGGATAGAGGAACATGGGGCTGAACTGAACCGCAGGCGCACCTAGAAACCAGTGAAGCATTACTTCAGATCACGAAGATCACGAGGATCATGAGGATCACGAGGATCACGAGGATCACGAAGATCACGAGGATCACGAAGATGATTAGGATCACGAGTATAATTAAGATCACGAGGATAATTAAGATCACGAGGATAATTAAGATCACGAGGACAATTAAGATCACGAGGATAATTAGGATAACGAGGATAATTAGGATCACGAGGATAATTAGGATCACGAGGATAATTAGGATCACGAGGATAATTAAGATCACGAGGATAATTAAGATCACGAGGATAATTAAGATCACGAGGATAATTAAGATCACGAGGATAATTAAGATCACGAGGATAATTAAGATCACGAGGATAATTAAGATCACGAGGACAATTAAGATCACGAGCATAATTAGGATCACGAGGATAATTAGGATCACGAGGATAATTAGGATCACGAGGATAATTAGGATCACGAGGATAATTAAGATCACGAGGATAATTAAGATCACGAGGATAATTAAGATATTAGATATCAACAGCCTAAAGATATCAACTAAAGGGTCAATGTTAACACAAGTCTCCTTGGGTCAAATTTCTAGACAATTGCATGACCTTACCACAAAAATCGGTTAAGGAGGCTCACTGCAGCATCCTCGCATGAGGGAACAATGTGCACAAGATAGAAATCGCAGTATACATTAATCATAGCATAATTTTCCACGTGTTCTGTGTGTAGAAGATGCTTGCATCCCGTTGACGGGCATTGCCATTTGTCTTCTGTATAATACTCCACATATGCTCCTTGCCTCAGCTCACCATATTTGTTGTAATGAAACAGGACAAGACAACGGCGCCATACCAGGGGGATCCCTTCTCGGCAGGGTTGGTTGCGCTCGATGAGAAGTTCTTCTCGCTTGGGTTAGCCTTGACAAACTGCCCCCTTGACTTCCATTCCATCTTGTCGTGTGGCAGAATTGCAAGTGCAGTATGGACCTGATACCACGAGCATTGAACAAAGAAAATGGGAAAGTAGCGAAATAGGGGGTGGAAAGCATTAGGAAAAGAGGGAATTGGCCAAGGGTGGGGTTAAAAGTGGGAATTGGCCAAGGGTGGGGCTGGAAAGCATGCTGGAGATGGGAGAACCAACCACTTTGTTCAGACCAGAAGGAACGGGAATGAGGTGTTGACTAGCAAGAAGAGAGTACAAATGTGAAACCCTAGAAAATTGTACCCTCTATGGGTAACCCCACTACAGCCTAACAATATATAAATATATTAAGTTTGACACATAGAGGGGGTGAAAAGCATGCTGGAGAGGAGGGAACCAGCAATAGAGGGGGTGGAAAGCATGCTGTAGAGGGGAGAAGCAGCCATGGTGGGGAGGGGGGAACCAACCATGGAGAGGGTAGAAAACATTCTTGACATGGGGAGACTGCCAAACTTATATGCTATAGTTTGTGTAGGCTGTAGTGGGGTAGACTATATGGGGTACAACATTTCTAGGATCACGAGGATGATTAGGATCACGAGGATGATTAAGATCACGAGGATAATTAGGATCACGAGGATAATTAGGATCACGAGGATAATTAGGATGACACAGAACATAAAGGTAAAAGCATTATGTTCTGTTACATGCTTGTGAGGTGTAGAGGGGTGTAGCTTGTAGTATTCAGTTTCAGCGAGGGTTGGTTGGGTTCTGGAGGGTGACGCGAAGTTGGTAGAATAGGGCACTGCTGGGTACAAAGGGGTTGGATTCAGAAAGCCTCGAGAGACAGGAAATCAGGATCGGCCAATCCAAGGCTTCTCTCGTTTGTTTGCCTCGTATAGTGGATTGAAGTTGCCGTTTCAAGCTAACTCCAGCTAGGTAGCTCTAAACCACTGTGGGCAGCCATCGAGTGGGAGCGGAAATCTCTCACAAACGAGAGAACAGCTTTGGCGGTATGGACTGCCACGAGCTGCGTTGGCAGCAGATGGACTCGCGTCGGGAGTTTTCACCGTCGCGGAGGATGCGCTCATTGGAGCGCGGGAGATCGCGGACGCGTTCGCCACGGAGGACGGCGTACCGCGCGGATGGGGGCTCACCCATACGAGGGCGACGAGGAGGAAGCCAGGGCGATCCGCATGCGAAGGCGGAGCCCAGGCCTCGTCCGTCCGGAAGTGATCCTTGGAATCTGGCAAGTGGCCAGCAAGGAGCGGGAGAAGGGCGTCATGACGACGCGGATATGACGGACTCGCCGGAATCAGCAAGGAAGGCTGACGACGAGGGAGATTGCGAAGGTGTCACCACTGCGCGGGGCGGCGGGGAACAACGCCTAGGCAGGGAGGAGGCAGATCTGCAGAATCGAGGGGAGGGGAGCGACGCGGAAACAGATCCTGCATTAGAGGGGATGTGTGAAGAAGGCCGAGTGAGGTGTTGAGGGAACACGGCGGCGGATTGCTCGCCGGACGACACGCGCAAGGGAAGCGCGAGGCGCCGCGAGAGCGCGGATGCAGCTGGTGCGACGGACGAAACAGATGGGAGTGGCGAAAGGCTTCATGGCAGCGGGGATGCAGCTGGTGCGACGGACGAAAACGAAATGGGTGGGAATGGCGCGAGGCGCCGCGGAGAAGAACGGGCGGATGCGAAAGAGGACGATCTGCAAAGCGATGGCAGAGATGGACGCGAAGAACGCGGATGTGTAATGGAAGAAGATCGTTCTGCTGGCGAAATGCGCGGGGGTGCGAGGCGCCGCGGGGGTGCGGATGCAGCCGGTTCGACTGACGGAATGCGCGGGAATGACACGAGACGCTGCGGGAGCGCGGATGCAGACAGTTCGGCGGGCGAAATGCCTGAGAATGGCGCAAGGCGCCGCGGGAGCGCGGATGCGGATCGCTCGCCAGGCAGGCTGCGCGGAAGTAACGCAAGGCGCGGTGAAGGCAAGAAGACTGAGCGCGCGCCAGGAGCCAGCCGTGAGGAAGAAAGGAGGCGAGACGTGCAGGCGGGAGTGTATAGCTCGCCTGAGCCAAGACGCGGACATGAGCGCAGGAGGCGCATGGCGTTGGGCGGATGGCGATCACCAGAGCAAGGGGGAGAAGGAAGTGAGCACGCCCACGAGAGGAGGCGCGCGCGGCGCTCGCGTGAACGGCAGCGGACGGAGGAGAGGGAAGCACGTGTTAACGGCAGTGTGTGTTGGTGGCAGTAAATCACGGGTGCAGATGCGAGAACACACTGGAACGGAGTAGACGAGTACCCATGCGCGGGAGCGGGGTTGGTGCAGGATCCTGTCGGAGAGGCAAGGGGGAGGCAGGAGAGAGAGATAAACAGGAGAAGGGGTGAGGAAGAGCGCTGCTGGCGAGAGGTGTCCCCAGGGAAGGACCCGGGAAGTGACAAAGGAAGTGGAAGAGAGGATCATGAGTGCCGAGGAGCAGGCGAACGAGGGAGACGTTGTGAAGGAGAGTCCCTTGAGAGGAAGGAGTGGAGGGAGAAGATGAGAAGGAGTGATGAGGAGCTGCGTGAAGAGAAGGAACATGAGTACAGTGAAGAAGAGGACTATGGGTATGATCTGGAACGGCGCCGACGCGGGAAGCCGGAGTGGCGGGAGAAGAAGTCATGCCCTGAAGAAAGAGAGGGGTACAGGGGAAGGCGAGAAGGGCGAATGGAACCTGGAGCGGGGGTGAGGGAGAAGCAGGACCTGAGCGGACAGAGGAAGAGAGGTGACAAGCAGCACATGCGACGGGAGGGGATGCACAAGTATGAAACAGAGAGCGGGGAAGAGGAAGAGAGTGACAGGCGGGCACGCCATGGATCAAGACAAAGGGAGGAAAGCTGGGAAGAATATATCCCTGGAAGGAGAGAAGGGCTTAGGAGCAGGCAAGAAGAACGGAGAGAGTTTCGTGAGAGAGAGGACCAGGAGCAGCGGGAAAGGAGGAAGCGAGAAGGGCGATTCCAGGATTATTCGCCTGAGAGGAGAGAAAGGCGATGGGGGGAAGCAGGCGGGCGAAGAGAGGCTCACGAGGAGGAGCAGAGAAGGAGTCCGAGTCCGTGGGGCCCCAGGAGGCCACGGCAGACAGGAGAAGGATCTAGCGAAGCCAGAGCTGCTAGAGAAGGGATAGACAGGGTGCTGTGTGGGACAAGCACAGGCAGCAGGGGAATGAGGGGGCACAGAGGAGAAGTTAGCCGCGCGGAGCGAGGAGCAACGGGAACCTGGGACTCAGGGAGATGGGGCATGCAGGCGCCACCACAAGTAGAGGTGCCAGTGCGTTTCACGGGGAATGGAGGGACAAGCACTAATCTAAAGAATTATCTGATGCAGATTGGGAATGTCAAGTACAGGTGCGATCGGAGTGGGATGGACCCCGTCGACTTCTTTTTGAGTTTGCCGAACACTTTGGGTGGGGAAGCAGAAACATTGTATCGCATGAAGATGCATGAGTGGCTGAGGAGGGCAGAGGAGGATGGGGACGACCCTACGTCACTGTTCCTGGAGCGGCTGCGCAAGCAATTCCCAGGACACACGGCAGCGCGAATCAGGGAGTTTCAGGACTTCAAACGCAGGAAGGATGAGTCATTGCTGACGTATTATGGGCGGCTCGTGAACCTGGCCGAGGATGTGGTGTGTACCGACAGCAGCATGCTGATTAGTAAGTTCCTGGCAGGATTGGACGACGGGCTGGCCGGAGGACTGAAAATGAGAGTATACGAGCTGGGGGCAGAAGCAAGCCTGGAGGAAGTGTTTGAGCTAACAGAAAAGGTGGAGCTGGCACAGAGGCGTTATGAGGCATACCTGCCAACAGTGGCTGAGAAGATGCGACCCACCTGGGCGGCAGCAATGATACCGGGGGTGGGAGGCGGAGAGGAGCAGCAATATGAGAGAAGGACAGACACGAAGACCTGCTACAGGTGTGGACAGCCAGGACATGTAAGATTGAATTGCAAGAACTGCGACGTGTGTGGGAAACCAGGGCACCGCCGTCAGAACTGCCCTGACGCGCCAACCTGTGAAGTGTGTGGGAAGAGGGGGCATCAGTAGAAGGACTGCTATCAGAGGACTGGGGGAGCAAGGAGGTCACAAGAGGAGATAGAAACACAGATAGGAAGGCTGCGGGCTCAGCTGCAGGCTTTGGGAGGCAAGAAGGAGAAAGAACCAGGAGTGTACGCGAGGGAAGAGGAAGAGGAGGAAGAGGAGCAGGAGCCAGAGCACTCCTGTGCGGTGCTGCGTCGCCATGAAAACCTGGGGTGGAGCAGTGGGGGCAGGGACGGACGAAGGAAGCAAGTGAGTAAGGTGGGGGCATGGGTGTGTGTGCAAGTAACACCAGAAACGGAGAAGGGAACCAGGGGACAGGGACAAGATAGATGCAAGGGTGAGAAGGAGAAAGCAGCATGAGTACAAGGACAGAAGCAGGTAACGCAAGAGGGGTTTCTCCGACAAGGATCACGAGGATGATTAAGATCACGAGGATAATTAAGATCAGGAGGATAATTAAGATCACGAGGATAATTAAGATCACGAGGATAATTAAGATCACGAGGATCATGAGCGTCCCTTGCCTAAAACGAGTGTCACTGACCAAAGATCATGAGTCCGCCCAGGAATTCGAGGCGGAAGGCGAGCCAGCGGTTGGCGCTCATGCTGACGAGGGTGAAGCGCGTGTTGCGGTCCACCGCATGCCCGTTCATGGCCGCCATGAGCTGCGCTGCCCTGTACGCCCTGATGGTCGCCAGCCCGTTCAGTGCCTCCGCGAACTGAGAGGTGGATGGGTTTTGTATGCATGTGGAGGGGGGGAGAAGAAGGGGGGGTTGGTGGCGCTCGTTCATCCCCTCCATGCGCCATGCCACTGCCCTGTACGCCCTCATAGTTGCCAGCCCGTTCAGTGCCTCCGTGAACTGAGAGGGGGACGGGTTGTGTGCGTGTGAGAAGTGGGAGGGGGGAGAAGAAGGGGGGGTTGGTGGCACTCGTTCATCCCTGCCATGCCCCATGCTGCTGCCCTGTACGCCCTCATAGTTGCCAGCCCGCTCAGTGCCTCGGCGAACTGAAAGAGGGCACGACGAAGTCGAGAACGCGTGGGTTGGAGAGGGAAACGGGGACACGAATCCACAGAATTAGGAGGGAGAGGACGTGGGGTTTTAAGGGAGGATGGAGTGGGGCTGTTGACGGGACAATGGCCCCACCCTACAGCATCTGAAGCTATTGACGGGACAATGGCCCCGCCCTCGCTTGGGCAAAGCCGACGTCGCTGACCGACCCGCAAGGTGTGCAGCCGGCTGGACTTGGTGGTGGGCGTCCACCTGGAGGAGGAAGTCGACGATTTTTGAGGCGCCTCAAACGACGTCGCTGACCGGCCGGCAAGGTGTGCAGCCGGCCGGCTGGACTTGGTGGTTGGCGTCGACCTGGAGGAGGAAGTCGGCGAAGTTGGTCGACGACTTCTGCCGGGTCACCTTGAGGCCAACATCGGCAAAGCCGACTTTGACGCTGGCCGACGAAAGGAAGTCAGTGGGCAGCGCTAGGCTTCGGCGTTTTAAAAGCAGATTTAGACGACATGGAAGTGCAGCAACAGCGACACGATGGCCCACAGGGCGAGGACTGACAAGGCATCTCTCGACAACCAAAGTGGACACACACCTGGGAGTAGACGGGCGAGCGTGTGACAGAGTCCCAGTACTCCATCTCCATTGCAGTGTTCTGGAAGTGGAGGTAGACCACATAGAAGAGCAGCAGCAGTGGCACGATGGTCCACTCATTTGGCTTAAAATTCTGAGCTGCCTCAAAGCGTACCTGGGAGTAGACGGGAGAGCGCGTCACTGAGTCCCAGCGCTTGACCTCCCGGGCAGTGTTTTGGAAGTAGAGGTAAACGATGTAGAAGAGGAGCAGCAGCGGCACGATGGCCCAGAGGGCGACGGTGTTGAGAACGCCGATGAGGGCGAAGGTGGAGAGCAGCTGGAATATTCCTCCCAGGCACAGCGACGTGTACTGCGCGAGGTTTTTATCGATGTCGGCCGTATCTTTAGTGAAACGGTTGATCAGACGACCCACCTGAAGGGGAGGGAGGGGAAGGGGGGTTGTGCGAGGGGAAAGGGGATATGCCGTTCAGACAGAGAGAGACGTGTACTGCGCGAGATTCTTGTCTATGTCCGCCGTGTCCTTGGTGAAGCGGTTGATCAGACAACCCACCTGGGGTAGGGGGATTGAGGAGAAGGGGAGTGGGATATGCCATTCAGACTCCGTGACGTGTCCGCTGTATCCTTGCGCGAGGTTCTTGCTGGTGTCCGACATTTTCCTACAAAGGTCTTTAAGCAAGCCCTACAAACAAACAATCTCTTAATTAAACAAGCCGCTGCCACGCAACGTCATGCCTCCTAAGTGGGGTTCCATTGGAGGTTCTTGCTGATGTCCGACGTGTTCGTGGGGAATCGGTTGATCAGGCGACCCATATAGGAGGGGTGGAGGATTGACGATGGGGAGGGGAGGGGAAAACGCAGCTCAGGCAGAGCCACGTGTCCTGTGTGAGATTCTTGTCAAAGGTGACCCACCTGCTCTTAGCGGATCAGTTTTTCAAGAGGTGACCCACCTGCTCTTAGCGGATCATTTTTTCAAGAGGTGATCCACCTGCTCTTAGCGGATCAGTTTTTCAAGTGGTGACCCACCTGCTCTTAGCGGATCAGTTTTTCAAGAGTTGACCCATCTGCTCTTAGCGGATCAGTTTATCAAGGAGACCAATCGGCATAGCAAAAATTGCCAGGAGAGGGGCAGAAGAGAGGGGGAGTGAAGGTTTGGCATGCTGGGAAGGGACGATAAGGAAATATATGTCGAAAAAACTTGTGTGCAGGAGCTCATTCAGCACTCACATGATATTTCAGTACACTTGACAGAAATTTAGAAATCATGAATCGCAGGTTTGGTGCGAGTCCATCCACACAGGAAGACATGGGACATGGGAGCTGGGAGATCATGACTCACTGGGTTGGTGTGAAAGGTGTCACAGAATCTATCAGTGAGAACAGAATATTCAGTCACGTGCTTGTTTCATGTAGAGATGAGAGCTCGGAGATCATGACTCGCGGGGCTGGTGTGGAAGAAGGACGTGGGCACCATATTGGAGTTACTATTAGGAATTCTCAAAACTTGTGACTCACGGGGTTAGTGTGAAAGAAGGACATGGGGGCGCGGAGAATGGCCGCCAGCATGGCATCGTGCAGACGCCCAGCCGCTCTCTGGGAGGAAAACACCTGCAAGGTGCGGGAGGAGAGGAGGGGAGCAAGAAGGAAGAGGTGGGACGAGAAAGAAAAAGTCTGATGAAGCGGCGTTGAAGTAAGCACTTGTTAAAAATGAAGTCAAGGGCTGTCAACTTATTGCCAACCACTAACATGAAAACTCAGCTCATGACTCGTCCTTGTCATATACATACTTTCCCCATGTACCAGGCAAGGATCAAGATTCATATCGGGAGTAGCAGCAAACCTTCAAAACACGCTTAAGCAAAAAGGATCAAGACTGTAAAAACTCTTCCTAGAAATTCAAGAGAATCTTAAACCTTCAAACTCGAAAGAACCCATTTTCGCAAGACGCTCCAACCCTAAACATGAGAACTCAGCACATGACTCTTCCTTGTCATGCATACTTTCTCCATGTACCAGCCAATCAAGCAGTCAGGTGAAAAAAGGAGTGTTTTGAGGCGTCTCAAAACTCAGCTCATGACTCTTCCTTGTCGTACATACTTTCTCCATGTACCAGCCAATCAAGCAGTAAGCACAGAGAAAATTGATTGAGAAGCACCGACCAACCCTTGACTAGAAGCACTGACCAGGAAGTATTGGTTGGCGAAGGTGAGCAGCACTTGGCCCAGGGAGATGAGCGAATAGACCGCCACAAAATACAGCGACCCATGCCCACCACTCTCCTCCTGAGAAACACTCCCCGTCCAAACGCTGATCCACACGCTGGCCAGCACCCTCGCGGCCTCCTCGAGCACGTAGAGCGAGATGAGCACCGCCAGCACGCCTGCCCCCCCCATGGCCCTCACATACCGCCACACCACCGCCGCGCTCACCACCCCCTGCGCCTTCTCCTCCACCTGCACTAGAGTTGTTCCCCCTGCTGCTCCGCTCTTCTCCCCTTTCCCTGCTCCCCTCCTCTCCCCCTTCCCTGCTCCGCTTTTCTCCCCAACCTGGTTTCTGCTGCTAGAAAAGCCGTTCTCTGCAGCAGCAGAACCCCCGCCACCACCACCACTGTTGCTGCTGCTGCCAGACATTGCAGCAGCAGCTGCAGCTTCAGCGCTTGTCTCACTCCCACCGGCTGTTTCCCCTCCCTCTCCGCCCACCTCCGCGTCCCCGTGCTCCTCCAGCGCGCCTGCCTTCTCCAGCAGCCTCTGGAACTTGGGTGCCGACGCCTTCAGCTGCACATACGGCCCCTGCTCTGCTATGCGCCGCCCCTCCACCATCACCACCCAGTCCACCGCTGTGAAGGGGACGAGGGTTCGCGTTTAGGGTTTAATGAGCGAAAAAAGAGGGGTTTGGGAGGAGGTAGAGGCCTTGAGCTGAGAGGGGGAAGAAGAGTGCAGGGGAGGTATTGGAGTTGAGCTGGTTGTACAGGCCCTGTTCATATGCTGATTGCGCACAGTGACTCGTACATTTTACAGAACGGCGTTTTGAGTTAATTGAAGGGATTTGGTGAAGAGAGGGTTACCTGGTAGGAAGTGCAGCTGGTTCGTAACCATGATGCGCGTGCGGCCGGCAAGCTCCGTCCTCACACACATGTCGTACACCTGCTCACACGCATCGATGGGGATCACATCTCATTAACATGCAGCGATGCACCAACAGAACACAGACATGTACAGAACATAAGAAATGATTACACATGCGCACGCAAGTATGGACGGTTGAGATCCTGCGAGTCGCCAACGAACCCATGAGGCGCGTTTGGCTCTTGTCGAGACGAGTTTTGCTAGCCTCGTCCAAATGCTCATGTCTGCATGAATCCATCCAACCAAACCCAAAACCCCAAACTCTGAACCCCAATCACTGAAACCCAGATGCACATGCGCACCTGCTTGGCAACTTGGGCGTCGAGGGCGGAGAGCGGGTCGTCAAAGAAAAAGACATCAGCGTTGGAGTAACTGCTGATGTGCTGCTTCTGCCCCCCACTCATGTCCACACCCCTCTCATCTGTAACCCCAACTTCTCAACCCCATAAGCCTATCCACTGAAACCCCAACCCCCAAAGACCAATGCCCCAACCCCGAAGCCCTAACTCCTGAATGCCCGGCTCCAAAACTCCAGGCCCAATGCAGCAACCCACCTGCTTGGCGACGTGGGCGTCGAGGGCGGAGAGCGGGAGGAACACATCGGCGTCGGAGTAGACCGCTCTCGCGATGCTGATGCGCTGCTTCTGCCCGCCACTCACGTTCACTCCCCTCTCGCCTATCTCCGTCAGGTCCCCTCCTGGCAGCAGCTGCAGGTCCCTCTCCAGGGCGCTCACTCTCACTGCCCGCTCGTACCGCTGCCGGTCGTACGGCAGCCCGAACAGAATGTTCTCGCGCACTGTGGCGTTGAAGATCCAGGAGACCTGCGTACGCCACGTGCCATGTGGCAGAATGTAATTGGAGAGGAAAGAGAAGGCGGATAAACAACAACGAAAGCATGAAATGGCTTAGAAGATGGAAAAAAAAGGTGAAAATGCTTGCATTTCATGCCCTAATCAGATGAAAAGCTGTTGCATATGGGCAGATGAAAAAAACTCCAACGCGGTGGATTATGGCATCAGATGCAAGAAATATCTTAAAAAATGGGTACAAACAAACCTGCGAGACATAGGCCACGCGGCCTCTGATCATTGGAGGAGAGTCCCCTGACACCATGGGCATCTCGCCCAGCAGTGCACTGACCAGCGACGACTTGCCTTGCCCTGCCATGGGATGGGGTGGGATGGGGGAGGGAAGCAAGGTGAAGGGATGGGGTCGAGGAAGATGTGGGTTGGTGTGAAGAGGCCTTTTCAGTCCCCTGACACCGTGGGCATCTCGCTGACCAGGGACGGCTTGCTTCGCCTTTCCAAGGGCGTGGTTGGCACCGGGTGGGATGGGGGAAGAGGAAGAGGTACAGGATGGGGTAACGAATGGGGTAGCTTGGTGAAAGGGTCTTTTATCCCAACAGCAGTGCATTGACCAGCGACGACTTGCCTTGGCCTGGCGTGTGGTGGCATGCGATGCCGTGGGATGGGGTGGGGTGGGACGGTGGAGGGAAGCAAGGTGTAAAGGGATGGGGTGACGAAGAGGTGGGTTGGTGAAAGGGCCTCTCAGTCCCCTGACAATGACACCATGACCATCTCGCCCACCAACAGTGCACTCACCAGCCACGACTTGCCTTGGCCTGCATGCAGTGCATTAGGAGGAAGCGATGGGGATGCGATTACAATCACGAATCGTTAAGGTGCTCTGACCCGCCCTGACCTGCTCTGACCTGCCCTGGCCCGCCCTGACCCGTCCTGATCTGCACTAACCCGCCCTGACCTGTTCTGACCCGCACTTACCTGCTCTGGCGCCCACACACAACAGTACCTGTGGCGTCCTGACTGCTGCACTGACCACCCAGCATGCCGTACCTGTGGCGCCCACAACAGCCACCAGCTTCCCAGGCTCCACCGATAGAGTCACATCTGTTAGCGTGCCCCCCACGTCCTTCTCCTTCCCCTCCCCTCCCACTCCAACCTTCTCTCTGCCAACTCCCCCTCCTCCCCCAGCAGCACTGCTACCACCAGGACCAGTAGCAGCACCGTTAGCAGCAGCAGCAGTGGGAGCAGGAGCAGAGGGGGCAGCGCTCCAGGCGAAGGAGGCATGGGAAACCTCGACTGCCGGCTTGGCGGGGTCGATGGGCGGCGCAGGGGCGTCAATGTTTGTTTCGTCTGCCAGTAGCATCTCCTGCAGGCGCGTGAGAGACACGTTCACATTCACCACCTGGCGTGGTGGGGTGTAACAGAAGGGTAGAGTGGGAGACACATTCACGTTCACCTCCTGGTGTGTTGGAGAATGTTGCAGATATTGTTGCAGGGAAAAATATGGGAAGTGAAGAGATGACCAATAGGGGGAAGGGGCGCCGTCTCATGTCCCAACCCAACAGCATCTCCTGCAGGCGAGCGAGGGAGGGCACATACATCTCCTCAAACAAGATCGTTGAGGCACCTAAAAAATCATCTCAGTTCACGCGGTTTTCGAGACGCCTCAAAAATTGCAGGCGAGTGAGAGAGGCCGCATCTCCTCAAACAAGATCGGGGACAAGACAAGGGTACCCAATAAGAAGAAGACATGCACTAATAAGACACTACACACTACTCTGGGGTAATGTGGAGAAAAACGCATCCTGCGTTTTTTACTTTAGCGTCCCGTGCAAATTTCTCCACATACCTCTGGGGGGGGTGATGAGGTTGGGGACCAGACAAGACAGTACCCAGACACAGAAGTTTGCACTAGTGAGAGGTGGAACACTGACCTGGGTGATGAGGCTGGGGAACATGTAGAGGGGGGGGAAGACCAGAGACTCACATAGCAATGAGCTGAGCACTCACTTGGGTGATGAGGCTGGGGAACATGTGGAGGAGGTAGTGCAGCACAGCGAAGAGGGAGATAGAGGTGAAGGCCTTGGCGGCTGTGAGCTGGTGGCCCAGCAGCGAGTAGCAGCCGAACGACACCACCGTCACCAGCACTGGCAGCACACTCATCAGCAAGAAGTTGATCTGGTGAGGGGTGGAGGAAGAGGAACGAGGGGGAAGGTAGAATCTCCACTCACGAATCAGTGACACCAGTGTCACCAGTACCACCGTCACCAACACCAACAAGTATGTCCAAGTGGGTAGTTTCTCACATTTGATTTTAGAGGTCACGTCTTCAACTCTCAGCAGTTGCACTTTCCATTCTCATTATGCTCACCAGTGCAGCTGCGAAGAATTGAACCTATGACCTCTAAGACCAAAAGAGAGAAACTACCCACTGAGACATATTTATTGCACAACACACTAACCACAGTGTATCCGCTGCAGCACAGGACCTACTGTTCTGGTGAACTGCGCCCCTCATACCGCACACGACCTACCCCATCTCGTCCACTCCACCTTGTCATACCACACACAACCTACCGCCATGATGTATTGCGCCATCTGTCCCATCTCACCCTCTATCACACCGCACACAACCCACCGCCATGATGTGTTGCGCCATCTGTCCCATCTCACCCTCTATCACACCGCACACAACCCACCGCCATGATGTATTGCGCCTTGGAAATCTGCCCCATCTCGTCCGCTCGAACGCGTGCCACCTTGCTCTGAAAGCTCCCCTCCCACGTGTACAACTTGACCACATCCATTGCTGCCAGCACCTCGCTCATGAGCGCCACTCGCTTGTCGCTGCGCTGCAGTGATGCCTTCACCAGCTTCTGTACCCTATTCACTATCACTGCCTGATGTTTGCGGGGGAAGAGGGGCAGAGTGTGAGGAGGGGAAGGGAGATAGGAGGGGAGAAGAGGGAGGACGGGAGAGGAGAGAGGATGGGAAGGGCGGAAAGAGAAGGAGAGAGATGAGGGGGGGAAAGATGAGACGTGTACGAATTGACGACGTCCATGGCTGGCAGCAGCTCGCTCATGAGCGCCACTCGCTTGTCGCTGCGCTGCAGTGATGCCTTCACCAGCTTCTGCACCCGGTTCACTATCACCGCCTGGTAGTGGGGATATGGGGATAGGGGTGGATGTGGCACGGGAGGCAGGGAGAGAAGAGGGTTGGGAGGAGGGAGGAGGGAAAGTAGGAGAAGAAAGAGGAGGTTAGAGGCATGAGGAGAGCCACGGAGAATGAAAGGAAGAGAAGAATGTCAGAAGACCTGCACTGATTGCCTCCGATTCCCCCCCATCCATTCCTTGATCATTTCGTATGTACGTAAGAGCCTTGAGCTCATTACTAATGCACCACTTCAAGCTCAATCTCTTACACACTGTATTATACCATTAAAAGGAAGCAAACCAGGTCTCACTCACCTTGGCGGGGATCATGAGACGTGTCAAAAAGCGAACCTTCAGTCACAACCGCCAGGTTTCACTCACCTGGGCGAGGATCATGAGGAGCAGCATGAGCAGGCCGAGCACAGATGCCACCCCCAGCTGTTGGTAGAGCAGGAAGATGCAGACGAGGATGCGGAGAGGCGCCGACCAGAGGCCGTGCAACTGCTGACACACCTGGGAGAGGGGAGAGAGCAGCATGAGAAAGGGAGAGGGTGATTATAGGGGAGTGAGAGAGCAATTCAACAGTTTTTATGCACTTTTGATAGACGAGGTAGAGCAAAAATTATTGGTTCATTGTACTACTGCTAGCGCCACAAACTAAAACGTGTCACAAAAAGTGTGAGCACCACACCGCACCACACCGCCCCACCCCACACCGCACCGCACCACACCACACCGCACTCGCATCTCATTGCACCGTACCATCTGCAGGGACTCAGCGTCGTTGGTCATCATGTTGGTGATGCGCCCCGTGCTGAAGCCCTGCCGCCCACTGTGACTCAGCCGGAGTGACTTGCTGAACACTGCTGCTACCTGCACATGGGCGGGTCACGGCACAGAAAAGAGGATGGCGGAGAAAAGGGGACACTGCTTAGCACAGCCACAGGGACTTGCTGAACACCGCTGCCACCTGTGCATAGGACAGCATGGCCAAACGCGAGTTCCAAGAAGGACTTTTGAGGCGCCTAGAAAAAAGTGACCAAACCGCAGGGGCTTGCTGAACACCGCTGCCACCTGCGCATGGGACGGCATGACAGGATGGCGGGATAGGAGGAGTATATCAGTGGGTGGACTAGATTTGAGACAACTTCTTGAGGAAGAGGAGGTTGGGATGGGGAGACCATGGGGATGGAAAGGGATGTTTTGAGAATTCTCAAAACATCCCTGCAACGTCATGGAGACCATGGGGGATGAAAAACTCATTGAACTCTTCTCACCCCATTGTTCTCGTCTGTGCATACTTTTCTCGAGGGTTTTCCTTAGCAGACTGATTGTGAATTGATAGTGGCGAGCAGACTGATTGTGAATTGATAGTGGCGGATATGCACGATTAGCCGGGATGGGAGGGAATGTCGGGATGGGATATTGGACGCCCATCCGTGCATAATTTTCTCGATTAGCAGACTGATTGTGAAGTGATAGTGGCGGATATTGGACGTGGAGTGGAGGGAATGTCGGGATGGGATAGAAGGCAAGGAAAATAAGGGTGCAACTCCCCACAGTGCACCTCCCCCCACAGTGCATCCCAACCACAGTGCACCCCAATGTACACCCCCCCCACAGTATACCCCCCCCACAGTACACCCCCCCCACAGTACACCCCCCCCCACAGTACACCCCCCCCACAGTGCACCCCACAGTAACACCCCCCCCCCAGTGCAACCCGCCCTAGTGCACAGTACAGCTCGCTGCCAACCAACCACCTATGGCCTGCAAACCAGCATAATGACACCCCACACCGCAGTGCACCACAGAGCACCGCACTGCACCGCACAGCACACTTCCAACGTACCATGGCCTGTCACAGCTGGAAGCCGACGCACATGACATTCTGGAAGCATGCACAGAAACTCTTCTCGCTCTGTATGCCTCCCGTTCATGACGTACGTACCATGGCCTGTCGCAGTCAACTTAGAAGCACACCATGGCTAACGCCCCCCCCCATGCCTACCATGGCCTGTCGCAGCTGGAAGCCCACGCGCATGACATTCTGGAAGTACTGCGCCTCACAGATGACCCCTCCCACCTGGTGTAGGGAGGGGTGACGTGCGGTGCTAAGGGGTTAACATGGGTGGTGTGATCACAGAAGCCTCTTAAGTGCGAATGCATGGCACTCTGGAAGTACTGCGTCTCACAGATGACCCCGCCCACCTGGTGCCCAGGAGGTGCAGGAGAGGGGTGGTGTGCGGTGATACAGGGGTAACGGGGGTGATGTGCGGTGCTAGGGTATTAATGGGGGTGGAGTGGTCATAGAAGCCTCTCAAGCGCATGTCGCTCTGGAAGTAATGCGCCTCACAGATCACCTCGCCCAGGGTGTGCCATGGCTCATAAGAACACACTCACACACCAAGGTGCACCAACATACCAGTCCCAGGACGATGATGGTGGTGTTGATGATGGTGGAATAGATGGAGCCGTGCTGTGCACACTCGCCCAACTGCATGGCTGACCCTTGACCTCTAATACTCCATGCATGGTGTGCGTCAGTGCATAAAGGCACACAACACACCAGGGATACAAGGTTGTGCCTAGGGCTCATCATACCAGCCCCAGGAAGATGATGGTGCCTAGGGCTCATCATACCAGCCCCAGGAAGATGATGGTGGCATAGATGTAGCCGAGCCAGGCAGGCTCGTCCCACTGCAAGGGGCTGACCTGACCTCTGACCCCTAACCCTCCATGCATGGGACAAACAAGCAAACCGGGTCACACAGGCGGGTGTGGGCGCAACATACCAGCCCCAGGAAGATGATGGTGGCATAGATGTAGCCGTGCCATGCAGGCTCTTCCCACTGCGTGGCAGACCCCTAAACCCCGAATACTCTATCACTGTGTGTCTATGGGCATAACCCCACAACCACACCAGGGAGGGTGCATCACCATACCAGTCCAAGAAATATGATGGTGGCATAGATGTAGCCGTGCCATGCAGGCTCGTCTGATTGCATGGCTGACAGCAGGCGGCTGAGCATCAGCGGTCCCACAAACTGAGAGGCGTCGTTGCCAATCTGATGAACAGTGGGGTGGGGATGGGATGGGATGGGGATGGGAGCAGGCCGGGAGGAAATGACGTAGGGATGGGTAGCAACGGATACATCGTGCAGGGATTGCAAGCATGCCATGTGATGGCATGGGATGTGATGGCATGGGATGTGATGGAATGCCATGTGATGGCATGGGATGTGATGGAATGGGATGCGATGGCATGGGATGTGATGGAATGGGATGCGATGGCATGGGATGTGATGGCATGGTATGTGATGGCATGTAGTGGATGGCATGGGATGGAATAGGATGGCATGGAATAGTGGAATTATGGCTTAGGGCGTATCCCAGGCTAGTGTCAAGAATGAGTTGGTGTCAACCTCAGGAGGCGGGAACCCATGCAATTGGCATGTTGTCATTTTTGGACAAATTGACGTGCGAGAATGAGTTGGTGTCATGACACTAGCCCTCTTGACACTCGGCTGGGACACGCCCTTAAGATACACGCTGGGGCACCCACAAAGGGAGGGCGGGTGGGTGTTCTTGACACGAAACAACTTGAGGGAGAGGCATGAGAGTGCAATGGTCAGCATGTAAAATGCAACTCTCCCTTTCCACGCAGGTTGAGTATTGAGACGTCTCAAAACTTGAGAAGAATCAACTGGGCAGGCATGAGATGAGAGTGCACTGGTGACTGGTCAGCATGTAGCATGCAACTCTCCCTTTCCACTTTTGAGGCGCCTCACAAGTTGAACCAATTTTGGACAGGCATGAGATGAGAGTGCAATGGTCAGCATGTAGAATGCAGCTCTCCCTTTCCGCGCAGGTTGAAAGGCCAAGCTAGCATACAAGTCGGAAGAGGGAAGCATACCTTGCAGAAACCACCCCACCAGAACCTGTTAGTGATGAAAGGTCGGGGAAGAATCGGGAAGAATAGGGAAGAACACAGGGACGGGAAGGCAGAACAAGGGGGTGCGGTGCGGGGGGTGGGGAAGGGGTGGTGAGATGGTATATGTGTGGTGCATGTGTAAGCGACCACAGGTATTGAAACAAACAAAACAAAAGAAAACACGATGAAGTATGGGAGATGGTATCTATGTGAGGTGCATGTGTAGGCGACCACAAGCATGGGTTGACTTTTGAGTCGACTCAGAAGTCAGCTCGTTACATTGTCACACGGACGTTTTTCTACAAGAAGTGGTATATGCATGGCGCATGTGTAGGCGACCACAAGTATTGAAACGAATCAAAGCCCGATGACACTTTTTTGCCTCTCCTCCCATACCTCCCCTCCCTCCCCTCCGTCTCTCCCTCCCATCCCTCCCTCCCTCCCATCCCTCCCTCCCTCCCTCCCTCCCTCCCTCCCATCCCTCCCTCCCTCCCTCCCTCCCATCCCTCCCACACATCCTCTCCCCTCACCGGCGGCCAAAGCAGGAGTGCAGGGCGCGCAGCAGCCACGGCTTGGGGCGCCCCTTCTCCTCCCTCCACACGCGCTCAAACCTGCCGGGATTGTGCAGAGGCGAGAAAAAAGCCAGGCGGAGAGGCGAGAGAAAAGCAGAGTGGAGAGGCGAGTCGAGAATATTTGCGAGAGTGTCCGTATGGGAAAATCAGGGCAGTCATGGCGCCAGGGCTTCTGAGGCGCCTCAAAAGCACATTAGGGCAGTCATGGCCTTAGACTTTTGAGTCGACTCAAAAAAAGAAGATTTGCGAGAGTGTCCGCATGGGCAAATCAGGGCATCCGTGGCCTTAGGGCACCCCTTCCACTCACGCTCAAACTGCTGGGGGGATGGGTGGGGTGGAGGTGAGCGAAGAACAGAATCAGCTGTCATCGATGTGTGGCGGCTGACCAGAATCGGTTGCCATCGATGTGTGGCGGCTGACCAGAATCGGTTGCCATCGATGTGTGGCGGCTGACCAGAATCGGTTGCCATCGATGTGTGGCGGCTGACCAGAATCAGCTGTCATCGCTCAGCTCAGCCGCCACACATTTCTGCCTCCATAGACAACACTTGGTGGGTGCGCCATCCATGTGTCTGTTATGTGTCAGAGACAGGTCGCAGACTCACACACACACGCTCACCTGCCATACATACACCTTGGCAGTGCGGTCGCCATCATTCAGAGGCCACACATCGCTGTGCTTCAACGGGCAATTGGTCCCACTCATGTCCCACACACCCATAGACCCATGGACTCTTAGACACACAGATCGACCCACACGCGCGCGCGCGCGCGCGCGCACACACACACACACACACACACACATACACACACACACACCTGCCATACACCGTGGCAGTGCGGTCGCCATCGTTCAGCCGCCACACATCGCAGTGCTTCAACGCGCAATCGGTATGACTCATGCCTCACAGACCCACCCATAGGCTCATAGATAGAACCACACACACTCAACCCACACACACGCTCACCTGCCATACACCGTGGCAGTGTGGTCGCCATCATTCAGGCGCCACACATCGCTGTCCTCCAATGGGCGCCGGTACCCCAAAGCCATGAGAGGCGTCATCCACCCAAACGTCAGACCTGGGGGGGAGAGGGAGGGGCAGGGAGGAGGGGGGAGGGGGGAGTTGAGACATCTCGAAACGTGGCACCCCATGGCCATGAGAGGTCAGTCCAATCCGCCCAAACATCAGAACTATCAGGAGGAGGGGGGTAAGGATGGAGGAGGGGGGTCGGGGGGGTTGAGACATATCAAAATGCGGTATCCGTGGTTATGAGAGGCGTCATACAGCCAAACGTCAGACCTAGGGGGGAGAGGGAGTGGGGAAACGGGGGAAATGGCACCAGTCAAGATGGTGCACTATTGAGGCGCCTCAAAAGGGGAAGGGTGGAAGTGGGAACAGTTAAGATGCTGCAAGATGGTTCCATGATCCATCCATGGGGCCAGGCCAGTCAAGTCACTCCTCCTAGGGAAGGAGAAGGGTGCTGGCTCGGAGAAGCTTGGGTACAGCTCAACTCAACAGCACCCTATTCTTCTTCAGGTTTAACATGTAAGGTAAACGAATGTGAGGTTTAGGGCTCAGATAAGAGGTGCCACAAGTGCAGCATCAGATAAGAGGTGCCACAAGTGCAGCATCAGATAAGAGGTGCCACAAGTGCAGCATTAGATAAGAGGTGCCACAAGTGCAGCATTAGATAAGAGGTGCCACAAGTGCAGCATTAGATAAGAGGTGCCACAAGTGCAGCATCAGATAAGAGGTGCCACAAGTGCAGCATCAGATAAGAGGTGCCACAAGTGCAGCATCAGATAAGAGGTGCCACAAGTGCAGCATTAGATAGGAGGTGCTACAAGTGCAGCATTAGATAAGAGGTGCCACAAGTGCAGCATCAGATAAGAGGTGCCACAAGTGCAGCATTAGATAAGAGGTGCCACAAGTGCAGCATCAGATAAGAGGTGCCACAAGTGCAGCATCAGATAAGAGGTGCCACAAGTGCAGCATCAGATCAGATCAGAGGTCATGGCTGACGAAGCTCGGGTTTAAGCTGAGGTGCCACAAGTGCACTTTTTGGGATTGAAGGTGTAAGGTACAGCTGTGGGGTTTAAGGAACAGGTGAGAGCTAATAGTACGGTTGATGAAGCTGGTGTAGTCTTCAGGGCACACCTGCCCCTGGTTATCTCCTTCCTCCTCCGCTGCTTCTCCTTCCGCCCCACCCACAGGCCCTGCAGCTGCAGGTGGCAAGAGCGGTGCTGCTGCCTCTGCCTCTGTGCCTGCGAGGGCGGGGGAGGAGGAGAGGCCTGGCGAAGGGTGCTCAAGAGGGAGCAGGTTGGGGAAGAACAAGAGCGCTAGCAAGCCTAGGAGCACCTGGGGGTGCAAGGGGGAAGAAACGGGAAGAAGGGAGGTACAAAGTGGGCGCAAGGGAAGGGGAGAGGGAGGAGGGGGGGAGGAACGAGAGGTAGGAATAAGGACGACAAAGGAGAGGAAGAAGAAGCAGGGGAAAAAAAGAGGGCCAGCATGACTGGAAAGACCTGAAGCATTCCAGGCGAACTCACGAACAACGGAGATGCAAGGGAAGGGGGAAGGCAGGTGGGGTGTGGGGGTGGGGGCTTGGCTTGGAGCGGTGGGTAAAGGAGGAGAAAGAGGAAAAACAATTGAGGTGACTTTTGAATCGACTAAAAAGTCACCTCGTTACAATGGCGCATGACACTGAGGAGTGGGGGTGGGGGCTCGGCTCGGAGCGGTGGGTAAAGGAGGAGAAAGAGGAAAAACAATTGTGTCAGCTGAAAGAGTGATTAGAGGAGGGACTTTATGCAACTAGTAAAGTCTCTCTCTCTGTTGCACAAGAGTTGCCATTGACACTTACATGGGCTGATGTGAAGCCAAAGGAAAGCTCCACAAACAAGCTGGGAAGGAAGGAAAGAATACAGACGGGGAGTACGCAAAAGGGAAAAGAACAAAAATCAGTCACAAAAGAAAGAAAGATATAAAAAAATAAGTGGAGGAGAGGAAATGAGCACAGGAACAACAACAGCCATGCACCAGGTTACCAGGCAACAAGCACAATCACCCCACTCTATTCCATCCAATGCAAAGCACTCACGCCTGGAAGTCCTGCTGCAGAATGAGCACGAATCTCAGCTTCGCCAGCTGCCCCACCATCACGTAGAGCACTGCGAATCGCAGCAGCCATGCGCCCTTCACTGCCATGCGCCTGCGCTCCCAGAAGAGAGCCGTTGTTGTGAGCGCCCAGGCGAGAAACGCGAGGATCAAGGAGCAAACCTGGGAAAGCATGGGATGGAGGGGGGCAGCGGAGGAAACAGTGAGCTTGTAAGCGCAGCAGCCACGTGCCCTTCACTGCCATGCACTTGCGCTCCCAGAAGAGCGCCGTGGCCGTGAGGTGAGCGCCCAGGCGAGGAACACGAGGATCAAGGAGCAGACCTGGGGAGATTGAAACAGGGAGCAGGAAACAGCGAGACTGAATCGCAGCAGCCACACGCCCTTCACCGCCATGCGCCTTCGCTCCCAGAAGGACACGAGTTTTTAGTCGACTCAAAAGTCGTCTCACCTCACGGAGTTCTGGGAGAGCAAAGGAATAGCAGAGGAGAGAAGGAATAGCATTGTGGAGAACAATAGCATTGCGGAGAGCAATAGCATTGCGGAGCAGACATAGGGCAATAAACAGTGAGGCTGCATTGTAACGCGAAGCATACAAGGAGTGCAGCTCTAACCTCATAAGGCGGCAGATTCGCATGTGTGGAGAAGGAGCTCAAGGACACGGTAGAGAGAAACTTGGGTCGTCTCTGAAACCGCACGCCTTACCTCGGTGTGTGGTACCTCGTAAGGAAGAAATCCGCATAAGTGGAGAAGGAGGTCAAGGACACACGAGCGCTCAGCTCAGCTGCCTTTTGAGTCGGCTCAGAAGTCACTTTGCCACGTAAGCTGGGCCTTACCTCATAAGGCGGTAAATCCGCATCTGTAGAGAAAGAGCTCAGTGACACGCGAGCGCTCAGCTGCATCAGCGGGACCACCGCACACATCAGCGCCAGCGCAGCAGCCGCCACGATCCCCCGCTCCCCGCGCCACCCTGGCGCAACCGCCCGCTGCTGCGCGCGGGGGGTGGTGTAGAGAACGTACAGCCGCAGCACGGCTAGAAGAATCATAGCGAGGTACGCTGTACCGAGTACGACAATGTCGATGAAGCAGGGCGTGAAAGCGCCTAGCTCGTTCGTGATTGACTCCCACGATCCGTTAAACTGCGGCTTGCAGAACGAATCTACGAATTGCGGAGGCGGCGCCGGCGGCGGCGCGGCGGACGGGCCGAGAAATGCGGTGGAGACGGATGGAATGGGAGAGAATGCGGCGGCTGAGTAGTAAGGTTCGGAGAAATTGCCGCGCGAGACGGCGTCGATCGCGGCCACCGCGGCGTTTGCGGAGAAACTGGCCCCAGAGGTCATGGCGGACGACGCGGCGGTGAAGAAGGAAGTGACATTACTGGATGGATGGAGGGAAAGCAAGGAGGTGAAACCGCTGGTGCCATCGTGGGAATCGAGGAGGCGACAACAATGTCGACAACGACGCTGCTTCTGGCAGACCGCCGACGGTAGTGCTAATTGCTGCCTGGTGACTACAATCGGAGAGCCAGGGGAAGAGTAGCGAGGGGTAGGGAAGAACGGAGGGAGTCAGAGCCGCCATTGCGCCGCGCAATGGCTGCTTTCTGACCGCGGGTTTTGATGGCCGCGTCTGACCACCCCTAACGTCTCATAACAGACAGCATGAGTGGTCTTCCTTGCCCATCGCCGCCCGAAGCCGGCCGAGTCCTATCGACCACAATCGCATGTTGGCCGGCGCCGCGCGAATCCATGCGTACCTGCACGCATGCATGGGTAGTAGATGTGTTTGAGGACGTGCACGGCACGACGGATGGACACGTGGGTTATGGAACCGACAACTGACGGGGATGGCGATAGTAGAACGGTGCACCACCGTCGCTACGTTGTAATCAATGGCGCCTACCGATGCGGGCACCGACCTACTGTAGTAGTGATCGCAGTCCAGTGCCGACCTACGGCTGTGTGCGTCACCGAGTAGTGATCTAAACCCTAAACTAGTAGCGCCGACCAAAACGTGGGACAACCCTAACAACGTCGACCTGCAAGGTATCCAGCGGTCGACGTCGACATCCCAATACGGACACTCACTTGAGGCTGAATCCCAAGCAACGGGCGTTGAACTCTAGCCTATGGTCTACGAGGACGGCGTAGTCGTGTTCGTCGAGCTTGGCAGTGAGTCCACTACCCAGGTCGAGATACAGAGGGAAGTCCTGCGAAGTCGGCGTCACTTCGTTGACTTTCGGGGCGGCCGACATGGCGGTGAAGGGAAGCGGCTACAGGCTAAGGGACGTGAATGTGGGAGAAGGCGCAGAGCTGGGGAAAAGGTGGAAAGGGAAACGAGATGCCGAAAATGAGGAGCGATGCCCCCTTCCACCAAAAAAAGGGGGTCGGTGCCCCACAGGAACGGTCGAGGCATCGCCCGGCCCTCGTGGTGCCTGCCTCGGTGGGGTTTGGCGGGCTCGTGCACAAGTGGCACAAGTTCTCATTCGCCGCCGAGCCAGCAAGTCGATGTCACGTCACGAAGCGAAAAATGTGCGCCGAGAAGCGATCGAATTCGCAATGTCCCAAATTGAATTCGCCATGTACCAAATTCTGCATGTTGCCCGATGCGAAGTAGGCGGGCGAACACGTGGCGTCACCGCAACGGGTCGCGAAGTTGTCGAGTGTCCCGAGGGGGCCCCAACTTTTCGCCTGACTCTCGCCTGCCCGTCCGGGCAGGCCGCGATGGGTTACTAGGACATCGCGGGCAGGTGGCACGTGTGGGCTGCCTTCGCGCGAGGGTAATTTTCCCACGCGCGAGCTGTCGCCAGTTCGCCGAACCCACCCGGTAACGTGGGCCGCTGTTCACATTCGGAGCGGGGCTGCGGGGCGGCGGTCGTGCGCTCGGCCCAGCCCTGGGCCAGGCTGGCGGGCCCGCACGCGCGTCAATGCTCCGCCCCGTCAGCCCAGGCTTTGACGACCCCCCTCGACGACACTGGCAAATCCGTCCTGACGACCTTTTTCGGCTGAGGTGTTCGGAATGATATACCTCAGCCGACGAAAATTGCCGGCCAATTTCGCGGTTGCGATAGGACAACGAACCCTATCGGGATTGACGACCTCCTGACGACCTGCGAGTGGCAAACTGGGGCGAGCTGGCAGTCCTCCGGGGCCCTGAACCCCTCGGGATTGTCGACAACCTGACGACCTCGGGTTTCGCTGAGAGAAACCCGAGAAGGATATCTCAGCGGACCCTGAACCACAGGTCGACACGTCGTGCGCCGAACCGCGATTACGGCCACGTGGCCTAATAGGGACGGCCGAGATCGAGCCTGACAATCGGGAGGTGCCACGACGGCGCCGACGTGGCCCCGCTTCGCACCACCGGGTATATTTCGCTGCGCGCGAAACTTGGCGCGCCGACGAAAAATGTAACCATCGTCCACGCGGCGAAAGACGACTGGCATGTGTCCACCACCTAGATAGCCAGAGAACGCGGGGTATTGAGATGTCGGTGTCGCCCGAAGATCCAACCGCAGCAGCAAGACCCACGCGGATGGTTCTGTGCGGACCAAACAATGCATAGGCGAATAGAGCCCCAGACTCAGGGAATGTCGGCGTCGACCAACCCTCCGGCCACGCGCCTACTCGCAGGTCGATGAGGTTTGCGCGGGAGAGCAGGACACTACGGCATTTCAGGAGAGTGGAACTAGGTGATTGGCCTATTGCACGTGGTGCACGTGAATTCCACCGTGGCAAGGCACAGGCGGGAGTGCCGTTGAGCGCAGAGCGGCGTCACAGTAGACATGCATCGATCGTGACACGTCATGCACGTGCACTGCGGCGCTTGCAAAGAGGGCTGCGTGGAGCGTGGCAGGTGCGCAGTGGCCCGCAACCATACCCCTCTTTGACCACGCACAACGCTCTCATTCTGCCGGTTCAGCTTCGTGTTTCTCTCATGCTCCTGTGCGCCATCTGGCACTTCGTTTTCTTCACAGGACCCTCGCTATCTCTGCGGGTCTAGGTTACTCGACGGCTAGACCCTGTGAGGTCGACAACTGTGCACACGATCCTCGGGCGCATAAAGGCATGCCAGATACTCGAGTGCCGCAGCTCGGGTCTAGCACCTTGGAAGAACGCCTTAGGCGGGAATTTGAATACATACATGACATGCTCGAACAGGACGAGAAGGAGGACAATCAGCAGATGGCGGTGCCGCGCGAAGGGTGGAAGGCGACGGACTTTGTAGTGGACGACATGGTGTACTCCAGCATCGACGTGCTCATAATGGACGCCCTACGACACCTACAATGCTTGGAGAAGGATAGCACGCTCAGGCTGTACACCGCGTTCATCTACCACTACAAGAAGTGGGCGGCGAAGATGCTGAAGCAGATACGCGACAAGCTACCCCATGAGCAACGACTTAGGCACGTCGACGAGATCGGCCACTACATCCGCGACAACAAGAAAAAGGATTGGTGCAACGAGAAAGTGGTCCGCCGACAGTACATCTGGCTGCACGGCCCTAGGGTCACCGAAACCTGGCTGCGCGCCTACGTGAAGCAAATGAGCCGTGAGTGTAACCTCATTGTTGACCAGCCCGGGGAGGAGAACAATGCCACGCAAACGGGGCCTGTGAGGTCGACAACTGTGCACACGATCCTCGGGCGCATAAAGGCATGCCAGATGGCGGCGAGGGTGGAGGCGACGCTGTACCGAGAGAAGGAGCTGGGCATCATGAGGGAGATCTCGGTGGTCAGATCGGAGGTGCGGTTCAACGTCCGCCACAAGAACGAGAGGGACATCAAGTAAGTTGGTCGACAACCTTATTCTATATCACTGTGCACTATGAAGTCGACGCAGTCTAACAGATTTTCCCCGCCGATTTGCGTTCAGGAACTGCGCCGACCGTCGACGCGGCACCATCGGCGATACCTACACCGCCGAGCAGTTCCACCAGATCATGATGAGGGTGCTGCCGACATGGGCGGCGGCGGCGTGGAACCCGCGGGCAACCACTCCGTCGCAGACGCTGTGGCGATTCCTGCTCGTCAAGGTGCTCACGCTACTCTCCCACCACTCTCTCCTGCGCGGCGCCAGCATCCGCGAGATCACGCTACCCGACGTCTTCTTGTACCACCTGGCGAGCACCTTTGAGGTGAACCCGGATAGCCAGCTGGTCGTCATGGTGATCGCCGCGCGTAACTCGAAGACTTCCAAGGATGCCCGTCTTCAGCAGAGCTACGCGGCGCGACACCTGGAAGCGGAGCTGTGCGCCGTCGGCGAGACCGGCCTGTGGCTGCACTTCATCCTCGACCAGATCGGTCAGTTCTCCGGCACCGACTTCCTTCCGCCGCTTGACACCACTGAACGCGAACGCTGGTACAAGAAGCATCTCTTCTTCGCCAAAAACGACAAGGAGCAGGAGGAGCTGCCCGCCGCCACCCACCAACGTTGGACTCGGCAGATGTGGACGACAAACAAGGTGTTCTGCAAAAGGAACGTGCACGCCGCCCGCGCCGGAGGTGCGCAGGAGCTAGCCATCGGAGGGACGCCGCGCACCGAGATCGCCGAGCTGGGACACTGGGCTCTCAACAAGATGACGCGTGCGTACATCACGGCCATTCCCGGCTACTCGGGACTCAAGCAAGACTACTTCTTGGGGCGCAGCAGGGTCGAGCCCTCCGACAAACTCCTGGACCTGCTCGCCGAGCACATCTTCCCCGGCGTGGATGCTATGCTGCGCGATGTATGTCACGCGACGCCGACAATGTTTTTCAGTCGTCGTGGCCTAGTTGGCTGCCCAACTCCCTACTAACCCACGCCACTTTCCGACTTGCAGGCGGAGACGCGTGCCGTCAATGGGAGCGACGCCGACAAAGCCGCAGTGCACTTCTTGCGCACCCTCGTGATGTTCCGACGCATCGTCGCCGAGGACCTCGCGGTGAAGCTCGTCCGCACACCGTGGCACCCGTACGTCCAAGGTTCCAAGCTCTGCAGGATTGCCCTCTTCCAGCACTGGGCGAAAAGGGTCGAGTCGGTCGACACCGATACGATCAAAAAGCGCCGGGACCTGACTCAAATTCAGCCGGAGGTGAGTCGCCGACCATGTCGGCGTCGTTGAATTCTAACCGGTGAATTCTAACCTCTTGTCGCCTTTCCGCACACTCAACATTGCAGGAAATATCTGTCCGCATGGACACCTTGTATCACAACATGTCCCTCAAGGAGGCGCTGAAGAAGGAGGTCGAGCGCTCGGCGCTCAAGAAGCTAGGCCTTCAGGAGACGATCGAGATGCAAAACGACACAATCGCGTCGCTCACCGCCGAGCTTGCTCGAGTCACCGAGGCACTCTGTGTGTCAGAAGCCCGGAGGATGCCGGCGGCGCCGCCGTCAGCGACCGAGCAAGCTCCGGGCGAGGGTGGCTCCGCGGATTCGGCCAACACGATGACCGGAGCCAAGAGAGATGATGGGAAACCCCCGCCACCCCCCCAGACGGCAGAGGAGGCCAGTTACGAGCTCAACGTGGTGCAACCTTGGCGGGATTCAAAGACCGTGCGGGACGCTTGGTGCCTCTGGAACTCCGCCACCGCCAATGAAACCCGTCGTCTTTGCGACAGGGTCGCCGAGCCGGGGTTCATCGACCGCCACACCCTCCTCAAAGGCGCGACCCAGGGTGCACTCAACATGAGGGTGCGCCGCATGTTGAAGGCCATGGATGCGGTGCGCCAGCTACGCGCGAGCGACGGCGATGCCGACACCGAAGCCGTGGCCGATGCACTGAACACGATCGCGGCACCGGGCATTGGGACCTTCTGCGATGCCCTCACGGTGCTCAACCCGGAGACGGCACCGACGATGTCCAAGGAGCCTGGCATGGGCGTCAAGGGGCTTGCCCCCAAGGTGGTCTCGAAGCTACGCCTCGCCTGTGCGCTGGTGGCGCTCGAGCTAAAGCTGACGACGTGGGTCGACCGCCTGTTTCCAGACACCTGGGTGGTGCAGATGCCGAAGACCGTGGCCGACTTGGCCAAGCAGACCGCACCTGCGCAGCGTCCTCCGTCAAAGGGCAAGAATTCGGCATGAAGATCCTCGGTGCATATGTGTTAGCGTAGGTTGATGATGCCCTAATTTAGCAAACCGTAGTGATCCCATCGTACTTGTTGATGGTGATGCAACACGAACATACATGATCCAACACATACATCCGAACCAGATATGTCGGACTCCGACATAGTCGCCACCATGTGTGTGCGATTCATTGTGCCTTATTCATGTCGACATCGCTGACTGCATGCAAACGGCGCAAACGGCGCCGATCACGATATAACCGAGCAATCATACCACCTAGCGCTCCCTCCGCGTGCCGACTACGCATCCGTGCTGTCCATGCCCGCTCGATATGCGCGTCAAACGGCACATCGATGCCGACCTCCTAGAGTTTTGGCCAACTGGGCGGCGCGGCACATTCCCCAAAGCGCCGACCATTGACCATCTTGGTCTAGCCGACGAGGCTCATCGCCGAGTATATACATGCATACAGCCAGACGCACTATGTCGACACCGTACGATGCCGAGTTGTTATACGCCGACGGGGTTCATCGCAGTGTCGCATTTGAGTAACATGGTAGAGATCAGGTCGACCTTGCCGAGGAGTGTTCTAGTAACATGCACTACCAAAAAGTTACAGCCAACAAAAGAAATACGCAACCACAAACGAAAAGAAATCCCAACGAAAACTATACAATCAAACGAAAAAAAATCCCAACGAAAACTACACAATCGACGCCGCCCATACCAGGCCATCCTAGCAAGAAGACCTACTTGCGCTCCCTCCTGCCGCCCATGGCAGATAGTTATGCCGACTACGCCGCCGTGCTGTCCTTGCCCGCTCTGCCCTTATTCCCCTTCTTCCCCGAGCTGTCCTTGCCCTGCTTGCCCCTCTGCCTCTTCCTCCCCCTGTGTTCGATATCGTACTCCATCTGCGCGTCAAGCGACACCGCGATGCCGATCTTCCTGAGTTTCGGCCCATCCACGGGGCACATTCCCCAGAACACGAGGGTTTCCACCGTCGCTCGTGCGATCAGTTTGGCCTCGGCATCAACATCCAACCCCGGATAGGCTTTGGCCAGAGTGGTGGACTCCAACGCCGGTGCGACGTTGTGCGCAACCTCCCCGAGGGGTTGCTGCCTGCTGATCGCGGCCTCCAGCACCGCCGTCATGACCTTCTTGAACTCGGCGGCGGTAGTCTCGCTCGCGCCGACCAACATCGCCGCCGCCTTCCCTTCGCGCACGGCATCAGCCACCTGGGCGCCGTCGCCCTCGACTAAGCACCACAGGGCGCAAGCGGAGGCCGATAGCGCCTGTGCGACCTTCGCCGTCGTCTCATCCGTGTCGCCCTCCTTTCTCGCCGCGGATGCAACGACCTTCCCATACACCGCGCACAAGGACACGCGATCAATCATGGCCGACATCATTGCATCCGATTTCTGCTTCCCTTCCTTCGTGTCGGCATCGACGGGGAACCAGATCGCGGGCAAAAGCGCGTCGTGGTGCGCATCGCCTGATGTCTTGTACGCTCGATACTTCCCGAGGATATCATCGAACGTGTCACGCAATCACACGAAACTGGCCGTTAGGAACGCCGACGTCGACATCATCGCTTGGCCGACGTTTATCCGACTTACCGTGTCTTTGGGAGGAACGCGCCCCGTGCCCATATCACCGTCCACATCCCAGCCGGCAAGAACCGGACTTCTTTCCACACCGCCCTCCACTGCTTCATCACTGTTTCCTCTAAGCCGGTGAGCTCGGCCATGAGGATCTTGCTGACGTAACCGTCGTACAGGAGGTACACAATCGAGTGAAGGTACGCCAGCTCCATCTTCTCGCGGGACTTGCCGGTGTATCTGCTCTCGTTCCCGACCACCTTAATCTCGCCCACCCACCCTTGCTTGTCGCCCGTGGTGTCGTGGCGGATGCCATGACCCTTCCGTTCTTTCACCTTCACCTTCTCCTCCTCCGTCGCCGCCTTCTCCTCCTCCACCTCCGCCTCCTCCACCTTCTCCTCCTTCTCCTCCTCCTCCTCCTCCTCCTCCTCCTCCTCCTCCTCCTCCTCCTCCTCCTCCTCCTCGTCCTCCTCCTCCTCCTCCTCCTCCTTCTCCTCCTCCTCCTTCTCCTCCTCCTCCTTCTCCTCCTTCTCCTTCTCCTTCTCCTCCTCCTCCTCCTTCTCCTTCTCCTCCTCCTCCTCCTCCTCCTCCTCCTCCTCCTCCTCCTCCTCCTCCTCCTCCTCCTCCTCCTCCTCCTTCTCCTCCTCCTCCTTCTCCTCCTCCTCCTTCTCCTCCTTCTCCTTCTCCTTCTTCTCCTCCATCTCCTTCTCCTTCTCCTTCCCTTTCTCCGCCACCTTCTCCTTCACCATCGCCGTCGCCATCCCCTGTCCTTTCTCCACCGACTTCACCATCGCCGACGTCGCCCGTGTTTTCTTCTTCGAGCTCGGCCTCGCTTTCCCTGCGTCGACCGTCCCCTTCCGTTTCGACTTTCCCGCGCCGACCGCAGCAGTGGTCGTCTTTGGCTCCGCTGTACAACCGGTGGGACTCGCCGAGTCCAAGATGGCCAGCACAGGGGGCTTCTTGGGGCGGTTTACGGCTTCCAACAGGTCCTGGATGGCAGCGATATCGGCGTCGTTGTGGTCCTTCGCCGCCTGTGCAGGGTCAACTGATCTGCCGCCCGTGGCTAGCGCTGCACTCACGCCCTTCTCCGCCACCGCCTCGACAGTAGCCGCACCGAGTGTGTGTGCATCTACGGTCACCGACGTCAGCGTCGCGCGTGAGCTGGATACCGGCTGAGCCCGTGCGGGCGCTGCCAAAGTACGTGCGCCTAACCGGGCGCGAAGCAACTCGGACTTTGGGTCCACAGGAGGACGGGTGGCGATGATAGGCGCGGTAGGTGGGGCACTGGACGTTGTGGCGGCGACCTGGGGAGTGACCGAGCGACGTGCTGTTGTGGCCGGCGCGGTACCGACCACGGGAGGCTGCTGCACGTCCTGTCGATGGGTCTCCATGCGGCTGAGCATCTCCCTGAGCGCGTTCGCCTTTGGGGCGGACGGACCAGCGCGGTTAGCCGCAGCATCCACCGCGTCAACCTTGGCGGCAGACGTGCCTGCTGGTGCTGGAAAAGCCGCAAGGGACGGCCCATCGTTGTTGGCGGCTGACGGGGCGATCGGCGCGCTGCTAGCCGCAGGGGGGTTGCGGGGGATCGACGTGGTCCCCGCCACTCCGCCGGACGGTCCCTTGACGGTTTTGGCGCCGCCATCTATCGCCGTTGGTGCGGTCGCTAGACTGGCCGGCTTCTCGGCGACTAATGGCGGGGCTGTTGGTCCAGCCTCTTGAGCGGCAACCTGGTCGGCAGGGCCCCCCTCCGCACTCCTGATTCCATCGCCCTTGCTGTGCGTCCTTATCACCTTGGCCCCGTTCTTCTTGAGCTGGTTGACCACGCTTGTACCTCCGCTCCCGTCGACTCCCTTGCTCCGCGAGCCGCCTGGACCCACCTGGCCGACGCCGCGGCTCCCATCGGCTCCCTTGCTCCGCTTCGAGCTCAACGCATCATCTCCGCCGCCCGCCCTTTTCGCACCCTTTTTGTCGGCCTCATTGGCCGACGGCGACGACCCATGCCGACCAGGCACCAGATGGCCGATCACCTGGGTCATGAGGTTTAACCCGGATGCAACAAACGACTGCTGGGTGGCCTCAGTCACCGCCTTCAACACGTCCGCCTTGAAAGACTTCATGAGCTCGTCCGGGAAGGCTGGCGGTGGGGCGGGCGGCGTGGGCGGCGGGACGGCGACGCGTTGAGTTACCGCGGCGGCGATGTTGGTCTGCGCGGCGACTAGGTGCTTCGATATGTATTCCTCCAATCCCTTCCTCGCTTCGTCCACGTGGTTGCCCATGGGGACGACCGCGTTCGCACGTTGCACCGCCATAAACCCCTCCGGATTCTCTAGATCGTCCAACCAGCACTCCGCCCTCTCGGCGTACGCCTTCATCGCATCCCATGCTTCACCCATGTTGGCGGTGATGTTCTCCGTCACGGTCGTTGCCATGGTCAAGGACGCGTCCATCAGCCGACTCGACGCGTCCTGGTCGGAGGCGGCGACCTGGTCGGCCAACGACCTGAGCTTGTCCACGAGGCGGCCAATCCCCATCGCAAACCTGTCCACCCGACCCCTCTCCATTCCGAGCGCCGTCTCGAGACGAGCATTTTCAGCCCTCAGCCACCTGTTCTCCTGTCGCAGCTGCGCGACGACGGCCGGCGTTGCCTGCCGACCAGCTGCTGAGGAACCCGGTTGACGGCCCGCCTCTACCGCTCCACCCCAGCGTTCCACCCCTGCGTTCCCTGTGGTGGTCTCCACGCCCGTCGGCGTCGGGGCCGCGGCGTTATCCTCCTCCTTCGCGTCACCAACCACATTGCCGACCACGTGCGCCTCCTCCACGCCGACATTCTCCACATCGGCACCCTCCCCTCGCACGTACACAACATCCGCCGACATCCCACCCGTTCCCTCCACGGCCGCCGCCGCTCCCTCCACGGCCACCGCCGCCGCTCCCTCAACATCCTCCATCTCGAATTCGACCCAGGGGAACTCTACCTCCTCCTCCCCCTCTTTCTGCTTCTCCCCCTCCGCCACCTGCTCCACCGACCCGAAACCCTGCTCCACGGCCTCCGCCGCCGCCGCCTTGTCCTCCTCCTCCTCCTCCTCCTCCTCCTCCTCCTCCTCCTCCTCCTCCTCCTCCTCCTCCTCCTCATCCTCCTCCTCCTCCTCCTCCTTCTCCTCCTCCTGCCCATGCCCCTGCTCACGCTCCTCACGATCCTCCTCCTCCTTTTCCTGATCCGCGGTCCTCGCCACAGACCTTTCTGCCTTCTCATCTGCCTTGTCGACGCCGTCTCCGGCCTCTCCGCTGGTGTCGGCGACACCGACTGCTTGGGATGCCGAAGGGGCCTCCGCGGCGTCGTCGCCACAGGCATCGGCAGCAACTCCGACATGGCCTGACCGTTTTCGTGCGACGTGTTCCTTGATGTATGTGATCATCCGAATCCGCAGCTCCTTCAACCCCGAAACGAGGACCTTGTCCATGCTGGTCGCACTGCGACGGTCGTCGCCGGTCAGGCGATCCATCCTCTTCACCACCCACCACAGCGCGCTCATTGATAGGAGGCCAGAGCCTGCGTCGCTGTCCCGGACGGTGTCACGCACTTTCTGCAAACAACAGAGCAGAGAGCAAGGATGAGCACCGACGGCGGCAATGGCATCGCGCTAGGACGGTAAAACGATCTGTACTCACATCTCGAACGGGTTCATCGCAGTCGGCGAGCCTGTCCGCCACCTCTTCAGCAAAAGGCTTCGGCCACTCCCACTGCCGGCCATCGCGGCCGAGCTCGGCCAGCACCACCGCCCGGAAAAACCTGAAGCAACATGGCACATATCGTCAGTAGACTTGCTTAACGCCCAGCGGCGAAATTGCATGCGTCGTCGACTACACTATCGAGCTCACTTCACCACGCGGATCGCCTTGTCGCGGTGCCACTGCTTCACGGTTTGCGGGTCAAAGTGCCTGACAGAGGTCCTGATCGTCTCCCCCCCGGCCCGCAACAAGTCGCCGGGGTACAGGATGACCACGACGCTGCAATGTGCCCCTAGAAGCGGTGCGATGCTGCACAGGCTAGGCACCACGACGTCGATCAGAACGGAGCAGCGACATAGGCATCATGGCACACCATCATGACTTAGGCTCACCTCGAATACAGAGGGATAACAGCTACGTCGGCGTCGAACACCGTAGCAAAGCATGAGTGGTCTTCCTTGCCCATCGCCGCCCGAAGCCGGCCGAGTCCTATCGACCACAATCGCATGTTGGCCGGCGCCGCGCGAATCCATGCGTACCTGCACGCATGCATGGGTAGTAGATGTGTTTGAGGACGTGCACGGCACGACGGATGGACACGTGGGTAATGGAACCGACAACTGACGGGGATGGCGATAGTAGAACGGTGCACCACCGTCGCTACGTTGTAATCAATGGCGCCTACCGATGCGGGCACCGACCTACTGTAGTAGTGATCGCAGTCCAGTGCCGACCTACGGCTGTGTGCGTCACCGAGTAGTGATCTAAACCTTAAACTAGTAGCGCCGACCAAAACGTGGGACAACCCTAACAACGTCGACCTGCAAGGTATCCAGCGGTCGACGTCGACATCCCAATACGGACACTCACTTGAGGCTGAATCCCAAGCAACGGGCGTTGAACTCTAGCCTATGGTCTACGAGGACGGCGTAGTCGTGTTCGTCGAGCTTGGCAGTGAGTCCACTACCCAGGTCGAGATACAGAGGGAAGTCCTGCGAAGTCGGCGTCACTTCGCCGACTTTCGGGGCGGCCGACATGGCGGTGAAGGGAAGCGGCTACAGGCTAAGGGACGTGAATGTGGGAGAAGGCGCAGAGCTGGGGAAAAGGTGGAAAGGGAAACGAGATGCCGAAAATGAGGAGCGATGCCCCCTTCCACCAAAAAAAGGGGGTCGGTGCCCCACAGGAACGGTCGAGGCATCGCCCGGCCCTCGTGGTGCCTGCCTCGGCGGGGTTTGGCGGGCTCGTGCACAAGTGGCACAAGTTCTCATTCGCCGCCGAGCCAGCAAGTCGATGTCACGTCACGAAGCGAAAAATGTGCGCCGAGAAGCGATAGAATTCGCAATGTCCCAAATTGAATTCGCCATGTACCAAATTCTGCATGTTGCCCGATGCGAAGTAGGCGGGCGAACACGTGGCGTCACCGCAACGGGTCGCGAAGTTGTCGAGTGTCCCGAGGGGGCCCCAACTTTTCGCCTGACTCTCGCCTGCCCGTCCGGGCAGGCCGCGATGGGTCACTAGGACATCGCGGGCAGGTGGCACGTGTGGGCTGCCTTCGCGCGAGGGTAATTTTCCCATGCGCGAGCTGTCGCCAGTTCGCCGAACCCACCCGGTAACGTGGGCCGCTGTTCACATTCGGAGCGGGGCTGCGGGGCGGCGGTCGTGCGCTCGGCCCAGCCCTGGGCCAGGCTGGCGGGCCCGCACGCGCGTCAGTGCTCCGCCCCGTCAGCCCAGGCTTTGACGACCCCCCTCGACGACACTGGCAAATCCGTCCTGACGACCTTTTTCGGCTGAGGTGTTCGGTCTAAACAGGACGGCACGAGGAAGGAATATTTTACTACTTCATTCGGTTTCAGTGTAGACAAGTTTACTGTGGGCTGGAATGGATCTGTTGATGTTTTTATGGATCTGTTAATGTCGAGTAGTAACATGGAGCTAGTTCAAAAGCTCGTGTTGTGATTGGCCCAAGTTGTTGTTGCGCGACACGCGCCACTCGTGGTCAACCTGCCACTAGATTGGCTCCGGTGTCAGTTCTGCTTCTGACATGCCTGACTCCTGCGGCTCGCGCTACTAAAATTGAACGGTTCGTCCATTCGCTGTCGGTGCCTCCGCGTACCTGGGTTCTGGGGTTCTTCGGTTCGGCATGTTTGTGTCAAACCAGCCTCAAGGTGCCTCGCTTTCAGGCTCGATTTGTTTCAGTAACCTCGATATTGCCCGAACCGAGCAGCCTCATAAACAGCTTCCGTATCGTTCCCAACCTCCACGGAACCTGCAGAGCCCGGCCCGCCCGCAGATTCTGTAACGCAATAGCTTACACCAGTCAGCGATGATAGGTCCTCAACCAGCTCGTGGAACCGAAATTATCAGATGCTGTCGTGGATCATAGGTGCCTAATATTCTCCCTCGTACTGCTCAGACAACTTATGTTCCGAGCTGAGTTGAATCTTTCAAGCACCCCACATCTGTGGCGGATGTGTGTGGTAGTCTCGACTACCGTAGAACAACATACTGCTTCTCTCTGTTACATGAAGCTTCTTCCATTTTACACGCCTTATCTTCCGCGTTCTATAAAAATCAAGCCAGTTCTGGCTGGCACTCGCTCTCGTGGCAGTAGTAGTGAAGTCCGAGTTCTAACTTCTCAAGCGAATTTTTTCTCGCCGAAAACAATCGAAGGCGAGATGCGCTAGACAAGACGTTGTCTTTGCAACGTCTATGAAACTCGCCTCTTGTTTCATCCATCGCTACACTCGGGACGCCGTGATCAAATACCCTTCTACGTGACGTTAGTCTTAAACGATTGTAATCAACTGTTCAAACATGGATTCAGCTGGGTCCTCTTCAACATCATCATCATCCCTTGAGGGGACTAACGGCCTGTCCCCCAGCTCCGCCGAATGTCTCCCGTTAGTCTCCACTGCCGTTCCCGCTTCCGAACACCCATCACCGACGTCTAACCAACATTTGCATCAGCAAATCTCACTGAACCTATCTTCATGTCGCGACACTACTACCAGCGGGACTAGTAGTCATTCTGATGGCGCGAATCAGCGCTTCCTATCCACCTTCTTCGACCTCTTCGCCTTCTCCGCCGCCAATCGCGTCCACGCGCGAATCGCGCCTATTGTTTTCGCTCTGCTGCTCGCCGTAGCTGTTATTATCGTAGTCCAATGGCCGCTAGAAGCTTCCCCGGAATTTATTCGCATTACAGACAGAACCGATGTGGACTCTCCGTCGTACTATTCTGAAGGACCGATTCGTTTGGGTGCGTTGGATCGGCCATCGCGCAAGGCGAGCGTCTCGTCTCAGAGTTTCGCAGCGCTGATCGTGTCGTCGCCGTCGTTGACATCGTCGCCGTCGCTGTCGCCGTCACCGTCGCCAGCGTCGTCGCGAGGTCACGCCGTCAATTTGAAGCTCGCGCCGCTGGATGGCAGTGTTTTGACTCAGAAAAGTTTCGTCCCAGAGCCGTTGGATGGCAGTGTTCGGAACATTCTTGTCTCAGAGCCGTTGGATCTGGATTCATCTGACGGCCATGCAGAGCAGATGAGACCTCTCGAGTCCCAAACCTCCCAGCCTCTGGGTCCCGAAAAGAAGGCTCGAAACGACGCGGAGCCGGTCTTATCTCTCGACCGGGCTGGATCCAAAAAACAGAAAAGAGACCGCCAATGGCGCCGCGGACGGCGGAACTCGACGGGTCTCGTGGCGCTTGAGAAAGTAACGGCCAAGATTAGTTCTCTGGATGACCCTCTCGTAATCCAACAGCTGGACGTGGGCCATAAAGTCAAGTGGGAGACGGAGTGGCTTCCGGTCAGCCGGGCGGAATATTTCCATCCTGACCGGAAATATTTATTTGTGACGGGAAACCGGGACATGTGTGCGGGCGTGAAGCATTTCCGGACCAGCCTGTCGTGCCGAATAAAGGAGGCTCGGCATTTGAACCGGACGTTGGTGCTGGACATGCGCGTGTGCCTTAACCAAGTGCACAATAACGGGAAATTCGTGTACAAGGCTATTTACGAGCACATCGACCTCTCGTCGATTGAGTACGTTCAATTACATTAAGTTCGCTAAGTATCTCCGCAGAGTAACTCAGCTTCTCTCTCGTCTATCCCCTTCCACATCCTCACTGGTTGTGGTCGTCATATTGCCCTTCTTCCGTCTTCACGGTTTCTAATTGCACTCATTTTCTTGCTTGTCTACCCCCTTCCGCATGCTCTCGGTCTTCCCCACTTGTTACCAGAATGCCTTTCACTCCCCTGCAGGGCTTTCTTGAGGACGCACTTGTATGGGGGAGGGAGAGAGCGGCTGGGGAGGCGCTGTTTGCAGTGCGTGTGGTTCGCAATTTGCCCTTCACCTATTCACAAGAGTGCTTATCCGTTTCTTTCTTCACCTCTTCCCACTCTGAATTTCCTTCTCTTTACCAGAGTGCCTTTCACTCCGCTGCAGGGCTTTCTTGAGGAGGCACTGGCGTGGCGGAGGGAGAGAGGGGCTGGGGAGGCGCCGTTTGGGGTGCGTGTGGTGAAGCGAACGGCTAGCACTGCTACAGTGGCGCTCGATACAGTCACACCTCTGATCATACGTAACACTTCGTACGGCTACAGTACGTGCAAGGTGAGTCGCAGCTCGTATCCCACCCTGTTTCTGTCTGATACTCTTTGTGTAGCTCATCATACTCCTTGTAAAGCGCCTCATACTCCTTGTAAAGCGCCTCATACTCCTTGTAAAGCGCCTCATACTCCTTGTATAGCGCCTCATACTCCTTGTGTAGCGCCTCATACTCCTTGTGTAGCGCCTCATACTCCTTGTGTAGCGCCTCATACTCCTTGTGTAGCGCCTCATACTCCTTGTGTAGCGCCTCATACTCCTTGTGTAGCGCCTCATACTCCTTGTGTAGCGCCTCATACTCCTTGTGTAGCGCCTCATACTCCTTGTGTAGCGCCTCATACTCCTTGTGTAGCGCCTCATACTCCTTGTGTAGCGCCTCATACTCCTTGTGTAGCGCCTCATACTCCTTGTGTAGCGCCTCATACTCCTTGTGTAGCGCCTCATACTCCTTGTGTAGCGCCTCATACTCCTTGTGTTGCGCCTCATACTCCTTGTGTAGCGCCTCATACTCCTTGTGTTGCGCCTCATACTCCTTGTGTAGCGCCTCATACTCCTTGTGTAGCGCCTCATACTCCTTGCGTAGCTCATCATACTCCTTGTAAAGCGCCTCATACTCCTTGTGTAGCGCCTCATACTCCTTGTAAAGCGCCTCATACTCCTTGTGTAGCGGCTCATACTCCTTGTAAAGCGCCTCGTACTCCTTGTATAGCTCCGTGCTCACTTTTGAAAAATCTCAAAAGTGGTTCTCAAAATGCATGCGCAGTGGTGGCTACGTGCTCGCTGTGCCAATACTCCCCCCCGACCCCCACCCCCTTCAGCTACCAGGAACCCCCTCCGAGCTCCACGAGCAAGTGGTTGGGTTCCGACAGGCGTGGCTCGCACTGGCTGCTGCCATGTCCCGGTCGATGCACTGGAGGGTTGGCATGCTTACTGTCATAATCCTCCCCCCACTAACCAATCCTCCCCCCACCAACCAACCCTTCCCCCACTAACCAATCCTCCCCTACCGACCAACCCTTCCCCCACCCACCAATCCCTTTCAGCTACCAGGAACCCCCTCCAAGCTCCATCACAGCTACTGCCATGTCCCAGTCAATGCCGGGGGGAACTACACGCTTACAGTGACTCTCTGCCTTTGCCAATGTCTCCCTCACCCAATCCTTGTCCCACACATCAACTGCTCCCCACTCCCTTCCGCGCTGCCAGGGACGCCCTTGAAGCCCCATGAGCAAGGGGTTGCGTTCCGCCCGGAGCTGGCCTCACTGGCTGCTGCCATGTCACGGTCAATGCACGAAGGGGACAACACGCTTACAGTGCCTTTGTGTTACGCCTCTGTACCAACATTTCCCCCAAGCGCACCAACATGTCAGGGGAAGACCACCTGCTTGGGGGAAATGCAGGGGAAGACCACCTGCTTGGGGGAAATGCAGGGGAAGACCACCTGCTTGGGGGAAATGCAGGGGAAGACCACCTGCTTGGGGGAAATGCAGGGGAAGACCACCTGCTTGGGGGAAATGCAGGGGAAGACCACCTGCTTGGGGGAAATGCAGGGGAAGACCACCTGCTTGGGGGAAATGCAGGGGAAGACCACCTGCTTGGGGGAAATGCAGGGGAAGACCACCTGCTTACATACAGTGCCCCTCTGCCATGCCATTTGTTTTCACAACCCCCTCCTGCTGCCAGGGACGCCCTTGAAGCACGATGATCAAGGGGTGGCGTATCGACCGGAGCTGGTGGCGCTAGCTAATGCCATGTCCCAGTGGATGAATGGAGGGGACTACGATGCAGAGCCGATGCTTCCTCCACCCATCAATGCTTCCTCCACCCATCAATGCTTCCCCCGCTCCCTTCAGCTGCCAGGGACGCCCTTCAAGCACGATAATCAGGGGGTGACGTTCCGCCCACAGCTGCTGGCACTGGCTGCTGCCATGTCCCAGTCGATGAATGGGGGGGACTACGATGCAGTGCATGTGAGGCGCGGAGACAAGGTTAACCCACGCCTGTGGCCGCACCTTGATAACGACACACAGGCAGCATCGTGAGTTGTGAGGAGTCGAGCCTGAGGTGGTAGTGAGTGGAAGGAACCTGAGCTGGTCGCGCTAGCTGCTGCCAAATCGGGGTCGATGCACGGAGGGGACTATGGTGTGAGGCGCGGAGACAAGGTGAGGCGCGCCTGTGGCCAAGCATGCAAGGTCGGTGGGGCGCGGAGACAAGGTGAGGCGCCTGTGGCCAAGCATGCAAGGTCGGTGGGGCGCGGAGACAAGGTGAGGCGCCTGTGGCCAAGCATGCAAGGTCGGTGGGGCGCGGAGACAAGGTGAGGCGCCTGTGGCCAAGCATGCAAGGTCGGTGGGGCGCGGAGACAAGGTGAACCCGCGTCTGTGGCCGCATGTTGAGAACGACACACAAGCAGCATTGTGAGTTGTCCAACAGCGGGTGTTGTTAAGAGCTGAGGTGTGATTTGAGTCAACTCAAAATGGTGGATGTGAGGTGTGGAGGCAGGCTCAATCCGACCCTGTGGCCCACCTAGACAACAACACACAAGCAACATGGGGAGTTATGCAGGAGCAAGTGTTTTGACTCGATCTGTGGTTTGAGTCACCTCAGAAGCTGAGTTGGTAGCGAGTCGAACCTGACGTGGTGGTAGGCTCACATTGCTTACCCACAGCATGCTCACCTTGCTTACCCACAGCATGCTCACATTGCTTACCCACAGCATGCTCACATTGCTTACCCACAGCATGCTCACATTGCTTACCCACAGCATGCTCACATTGCTTACCCACAACATGCTCACATTGCTTACCCACAGCATGCTCACATTGCTTACCCACAGCATGCTCACATTGCTTACCCACAGCATGCTCACATTGCTTACCCACAGCATGCTCACATTGCTTACCCACAGCATGCTCACATTGCTTACCCACAGCATGCTCACATTGCTTACCCACAGCATGCTCACATTGCTTACCCACAGCATGCTCACATTGCTTACCCACAGCATGCTCACATTGCTTACCCACAGCATGCTCACATTGCTTACCCACAGCATGCTCACATTGCTTACCCACAGCATGCTCACATTGCTTACCTCTCAGCATGCTCACATTGTTTCCCACAGCATGCTCACATTGCTTACCCACAGCATGCTCACATTGCTTACCCACAGCATGCTCACATTGCTTACCCACAGCATGCTCACATTGCTTACCCACAGCATGCTCACATTGCTTACCCACAGCATGCTCACATTGCTTACCCACAGCATGCTCACATTGCTTACCCACAGCATGCTCACATTGCTTACCCACAGCATGCTCACATTGCTTACCCACAGCATGCTCACATTGCTCACCCACAGCATGCTCACATTGCTTACCCACAGCATGCTCACATTGCTTTCCCACAGCATGCTCACATTGCTTACCCACAGCATGCTCACATTGCTTACCCACAGCATGCTCACATTGCTTACCCACAGCATGCTCACATTGCTTACCCACAGCATGCTCACATTGCTTACCCACAGCATGCTCACATTACTTACCCACAGCATGCTCACATTGCTTACCCACAGCATGCTCACATTGCTTACCCACAGCATGCTCACATTGCTTACCCACAGCATGCTCACATTGCTTACCCACAGCATGCTCACATTGCTTACCCACAGCATGCTCACATTGCTTACCCACAGCATGCTCACATTGCTTACCCACAGCATGCTCACATTGCTTACCCACAGCATGCTCACCTTGCTTACCCACAGCATGCTCACATTGCTTACCCACAGCATGCTCACATTGCTTACCCACAGCATGCTCACATTGCTTACCCACAGCATGCTCACATTGCTTACCCACAGCATGCTCACATTGCTTACCCACAGCATGCTCACATTGCTTACCCACAGCATGCTCACATTGCTTACCCACAGCATGCTCACATTGCTTACCCACAGCATGCTCACCTTGCTTACCCACAGCATGCTCACATTGCTTACCCACAGCATGCTCACATTGCTTACCCACAGCATGCTCACATTGCTTACCCACAGCATCCTCACATTGCTTACCCACAGCATGCTCACATTGCTTACCCACAGCATGCTCACATTGCTTACCCACAGCATGCTCACATTGCTTACCCACAGCATGCTCACCTTGCTTACCCACAGCATGCTCACATTGCTTACCCACAGCATGCTCACATTGCTTACCCACAGCATGCTCACATTGCTTACCCACAGCATGCTCACATTGCTTACCCACAGCATGCTCACATTGCTTACCCACAGCATGCTCACATTGCTTACCCACAGCATGCTCACATTGCTTACCCACAGCATGCTCACCTTGCTTACCCACAGCATGCTCACATTCCTTACCCACAGCATGCTCACATTGCTTACCCACAGCATGCTCGCATTGCTTACCCACAGCATGCTCACCTTGCTTACCCACAGCATGCTCACATTGCTTACCCACAGCATGCTCACATTGCTTTCCCACAGCATGCTCACATTGCTTACCCACAGCATGCTCACATTGCTTACCCACAGCATGCTCACATTGCTTACCCACAGCATGCTCACATTGCTTACCCACAGCATGCTCACATTGCTTACCCACAGCATGCTCACCTTGCTTACCCACAGCATGCTCACATTGCTTACCCACAGCATGCTCGCATTGCTTACCCACAGCATGCTCACCTTGCTTACCCACAGCATGCTCACATTGCTTACCCACAGCATGCTCACATTGCTTACCCACAGCATGCTCACATTGCTTACCCACAGCATGCTCGCATTGCTTACCCACAGCATGCTCACCTTGCTTACCCACAGCATGCTCACATTGCTTACCCACAGCATGCTCACATTGCTTACCCACGGCATGCTCACATTGCTTACCCACAGCATGCTCACCTTGCTTACCCACAGCATGCTCACATTGCTTACCCACAGCATGCTCACATTGCTTACCCACAGCATGCTCACATTGCTTACCCACAGCATGCTCACATTGCTTACCCACAGCATGCTCACATTGCTTACCCACAGCATGCTCACATTGCTTACCCACAGCATGCTCACATTGCTTACCCACAGCATGCTCACATTGCTTACCCACAGCATGCTCACATTGCTTACCCACAGCATGCTCACATTGCTTACCCACAGCATGCTCACATTGCTTACCCACAGCATGCTCACATTGCTTACCCACAGCATGCTCACATTGCTTACCCACAGCATGCTCACATTGCTTACCCACAGCATGCTCACATTGCTTACCCACAGCATGCTCACATTGCTTACCCACAGCATGCTCACATTGCTTACCCACAGCATGCTCACATTGCTTACCCACAGCATGCTCACATTGCTTACCCACAGCATGCTCACCTTGCTTACCCACAGCATGCTCACATTGCTTACCCACAGCATGCTCACATTGCTTACCCACAGCATGCTCACATTGCTTACCCACAGCATGCTCACATTGCTTACCCACAGCATGCTCACATTGCTTACCCACAGCATGCTCACATTGCTTACCCACAGCATGCTCACATTGCTTACCCACAGCATGCTCACATTGCTTACCCACAGCATGCTCACATTGCTTACCCACAGCATGCTCACATTGCTTACCCACAGCATGCTCACATTGCTTACCCACAGCATGCTCACATTGCTTACCCACAGCATGCTCACATTGCTTACCCACAGCATGCTCACATTGCTTACCCACAGCATGCTCACATTGCTTACCCACAGCATGCTCACATTGCTTACCCACAGCATGCTCACATTGCTTACCCACAGCATGCTCGCATTGCTTACCCACAGCATGCTCACATTGCTTACCCACAGCATGCTCACCTTGCTTACCCACAGCATGCTCACATTGCTTACCCACAGCATGCTCACATTGCTTACCCACAGCATGCTCACCTTGCTTACCCACAGCATGCTCACATTGCTTACCCACAGCATGCTCACATTGCTTACCCACAGCATGCTCACATTGCTTACCCACAGCATGCTCACATTGCTTACCCACAGCATGCTCACATTGCTTACCCACAGCATGCTCACATTGCTTTCCCACAGCATGCTCACATTGCTTACCCACAGCATGCTCACCTTGCTTACCCACAGCATGCTCACATTGCTTACCCACAGCATGCTCACATTGCTTACCCACAGCATGCTCACATTGCTTACCCACAGCATGCTCACATTGCTTACCCACAGCATGCTCACATTGTTTACCCACAGCATGCTCACATTGCTTACCCACAGCATGCTCACATTGCTTACCCACAGCATGCTCACATTGCTTACCCACAGCATGCTCACATTGCTTACCCACAGCATGCTCACATTGCTTACCCACAGCATGCTCACATTGCTTACCCACAGCATGCTCACATTGCTTACCCACAGCATGCTCACATTGCTTACCCACAGCATGCTCACATTGCTTACCCACAGCATGCTCACATTGCTTACCCACAGCATGCTCACCTTGCTTACCCACAGCATGCTCACATTGCTTACCCACAGCATGCTCACATTGCTTACCCACAGCATGCTCACCTTGCTTACCCACAGCATGCTCACATTGCTTACCCACAGCATGCTCGCATTGCTTACCCACAGCATGCTCACCTTGCTTACCCACAGCATGCTCACATTGCTTACCCACAGCATGCTCACATTGCTTACCCACAGCATGCTCACATTGCTTACCCACAGCATGCTCGCATTGCTTACCCACAGCATGCTCACCTTGCTTACCCACAGCATGCTCACATTGCTTACCCACAGCATGCTCACATTGCTTACCCACGGCATGCTCACATTGCTTACCCACAGCATGCTCACCTTGCTTACCCACAGCATGCTCACATTGCTTACCCACAGCATGCTCACATTGCTTACCCACAGCATGCTCAC